ATGCCACCCGGCATTAAGTCCGCCATCGTATGTTTATTATACAGAAGTGTCAATAAAATAAATAAATAAATAAATAAAGGTGCTCCCTCACCGGGAGCATTGGCGTGTAATGTAACGGTACAGATCTGAGCATTACATCAGTGAAGGAGGAGAACCGAGCATTACAATGCGCACCTTGTAATGATACAATGTGTAATATCTTGATACAACTTGTAACATCAATATGCTCCATTTCCCCCAGCCCCCCGCCCGCCCGCTTCGTCTGATATCTTGCTATGAAATGCTCAAAGTCGAATCAATATGTTACATTATACGTAAATGGTCGTTAGTCAGGGAGGTATTACCTTATATCTCATACTATTATATAAAGCGGAAGAGTTTGTTTGTTTGAACGCGCTAATCTCCATAACTACGAGTCTGATTTGAATAATTCTTTTTGTTTTGGATAGCGCATTTATCGATGATGGCTATAGGCTATAAAACATCACGCTACGATCAATAGGAGCTGAGCAGAGCGTGTGAAACCGCGCGGAAGTAGCTAGTTGTAATATAATACTCAAAGCCGAATCTAGAATGTTACACGTGAATGCTCCCGGTGAGGGGAGCACTTTAAAGGAAATTATTTGGTTTGTGTTATTAAGTGGGTTTATTTTAAACTCCTTAATACTGCTGCTCAGAATAATTACAACTTAACATATTAAAAAATGAGCACCCTTACTTGGCAGTTTCATCATTTCGCTGTACGTCGCTGTTGTAAAGATGTTGGCCCACACTAGGATTTGGTTGCGTTTACAAATATACAAGTTCACTTACACATGCCACCCAGACCCGGAACAACAATCTGTGGATCACACAAAGAGATGTTCCGTGCGGGAATCGAACCTGCGACACGTTGCGCGGCAGCCAGTTACCCAGCCACCGCACCAACCGTGCAGACTTAATAATGTCGATTGCCAACAATTTTCTTATTATTGATTTTTAACTCTTTTTTATTCACAAAAAATGTTCATACGGCATTTTATCCAAATAAAGTTGTCCAACTGTACACAACATTGTTTGTTTCCATTCTAGAGATGGGAGTTCAAGCAGCCCCAGCCGTTCCTCCGTACTCGTGAGTTCCTCTGGCAGGAGGGACACACTGCATTCAGACTACAGGAGGAAGCCGCTGAGGAAGTCTTGCAGATACTCGGTACATATTGCTTTTTATTGTTATTCCTTTTTTTACTAAAAGGTCAGCAATGGGGCTTAAACAATATTAGCTTTATATCTGCGTGGCTAAAGTCGTAAAAAAAATATTCACCTAAATCTTCCTGTATAAAAATATTCACCTAAATCTTCCTGTATTAAAATCAGTCAGGTTTTCGATTGTATATGTTTCAGCTTCGTTATAGTAAAAGAGTTAAAATTTTTCGTTAACACGTATTACAAGCGTTTGTTTTTAGTTGAATATTAATATATTCTTCAATTATAACAGATCTCTACGCCCGTGTTTACGAGGAGCTGATGGCTATCCCAGTGATCAAGGGTCGTAAGACTGAGAAGGAGAAGTTTGCCGGCGGAGACTATACTACCACCGTAGAGGCCTATATACCTGCCAGTGGACGAGCTATTCAGGTACGGGAGTGGGGAATAATGTTTTTTTTGCTCACACAAATGTAGAATGGGTTTTATTGTTAAATAAAACTTACAACTTACAACACTACAACGTACATTATCAAATGCTTTTCTACATTCGGAGATGAGATAGTAGTCAGCAATCTCTTTCTCTCTCTCTAATGAGGAAATTTTGTTAAATTGTAATAGTTTTCTTTGGTCAAACCCGCCAAAATTTACAAGGAAAGTAAATATTGACTCTTAAAATGTATGTAATAGGGAGCCACAAGTCATCACCTCGGCCAGAACTTCTCAAAGATGTTCGAGGTGGTGTACGACGACCCCGACACGCAGGAGAAGAAGTATGTCTACCAGAACTCGTGGGGTATCACCACCAGAACTATTGGTATGTACTCTACGTCGTTTCTATTTAAACTGTCAAACACCAAGCGGTCACCGGTGACCGCGACCTATTGTTCTTTAATTGTGTCTATAAAACCGGTACTCGACGAGTTAATATAGCTTGCTTTACCAGAATTTATGGCTGATATATTATAACTTTAGAGTATGTATGTCTAGTCCTATTGCTTTATAGTATGTTATGGTTGCATAATGATTTTTGTCTACCGAGTTCCTGAAACATTTTTTGTTCTTTTGCTTTTTAATTTCATCTATCAAAGGACGTTGAATTGAAACGACAGCATGTTACTTTTTTCTTTGATTTCCTTATATTTTTTCCAATCAAATACTTAACAAATTTTTACTTCCAGGTGTAATGGTCCTAGTCCACGGTGACGACAAAGGTCTGGTCCTCCCACCAAGAATAGCAGATATCCAAGCAATAGTAGTCCCCTGTGGTATCACCGCTTCTAGCACTACGGAGGAGAGGAACAAACTCATGGACTCTTGCAAGGACCTCGTTAAAGACTTGCTTGCTGCTGGCATCAGAGCTGAAGGAGATTATAGAGATAATTACTCGCCCGGATGGAAATTTAACCACTGGGAGCTTAAGGTATAGATATTTAGTTAAATAATCACTATAATTAATCTCACATAGGTGATATGCCTTACGTAGGTGTTCGACGAGGTAACCTGATTAATTTCAAGCGTCGCCAAGGGTCCATAGTCTCTATTGGAGAGTAGACTTAACGTCCGCTCCTTCTCTACTGACTAGCAGATCCACCACCACTACTCATTGTATTAAGAAACAGAATAGCTAAGGCATCTCCCGCCGAGATGGCCCTTGAGGTCATTGATTCGCTCCTACCTATATATTTTATAGTCTCAGGCTTTATTCCTGAGTTGGGTAGCCTTCTCTAAACTAAGGGAAGATATTTAAATACAATAATTTTTTATTGTTCTTTATTTGTTTATTATCATTTATTTTTTGTTGTTATTGTTTTTTATCTTAATATTCTTGTCTGTGGTTGGTGCATCATGCCTAATGGTAAATAAATTATTTTTCTTTCTTTTTTTCTTCAGGGTGTACCAGTGCGCGTAGAACTAGGTCCCAAGGACATGGCGCGCGGTGAGATAGTGGCAGTGCAGCGTTTGACCGGGGACAAGAAGACGTTCAAACGCGCGGACGCCGGGAAACTACTGCTGGAACTGCTGGACCAAACACACAACCAGATGTTTGATAAGTATGTTTGAACTGTAGATTAGTGTTTCTTCCAAAATCCATCTAGTGAGTTACACTAGCCAGCCGCTCCCACGTGGTTTCACCAACTGCTTGATTACTATTGACTATTGAGCATAATATGTTTTATGACCTTGTATCCTTCGTTGATAAATTGACTCTCCAACACAAAATAGTTTTCAATTTGAACCAGTGTTCCGGAGATAAGCGCTCTTCACCTTTATAATATGCTATGGGTACAGAATTCGCTTCAAGTTTCAGTTAAACTATTTGTTTTTGTAAATAAAAATAGTTGACCTCCCAGGTTGTTAGGCATTTCTATGTGACTACTCTAAAAAGAAACACCGAAACTAACTCCAAGGAGATTTTAAAACGAAAATCATTTTTTATAGGGCAACCAAAGAGCGAGATGCGAGATTATCTCTAGTTACAAAATGGGATGACTTTACCAACGCTTTGGAGCGTAAGTTCATCTTACTGGCGCCGTTCTGCGGAGAGATACCTTGTGAAGATAAAATCAAGAATGACAGTGCTAGGTGAGTTACTTCTTTCATTATGTTCTGTGTATTAGTTATAGGAAAATATCCAAAACTAATAATAGGATCCTCGTATGCTTCCCATCTGACCGGGACTGTCCTGTGAATGGTAATGACACATATAATAATAATCCTCTGTTTAGCAACCGTTTTTTGACTACTACCAAAACTAATACAGGCACAATGTACATACAACTATAGATAAATTAATTAATTGTGAAGTTTTTTATAAGATTTTGCCTTACACTATGCTTTTCTCCTGTATTGTGGATGCATATACAAACAGACAAATTCACATACACATGACATTCGAAACCTGAAACAACAGTTAGTGGATCACACAAAGGGTTGCTCCGTGCGGGAATCGAACCCGCTACACGTTGCGCGGCAGCCGGTTGCCCAATCACCGCACCAACCGTGCAGTTACAGTCTGTTTACCCATTAGATTGTACTGCACAGATAAAGTACCTAATAAACAAAACAGTACTTTTTAATTTGATTTTTTAACTGTGTGAAAACAATATTAACTCGTCGAGTACCGGTTTTATAGACACAATTAAAGAACAATAGGTCGCGGTCACCGGTGACCGCTTGGTGTTTGACAGTTTAAAGCTTTGTTTTAACTTTGCAATTTGAACAGTTTTAACAAGTATTTTAACTTCCACAGGACGGACGATGACCCAACAACCGAAGTGAAGGCTCCAGCCATGGGTGCCAAGTCCCTCTGTATACCATTCAAGCAGCCTCGTGAACTCACTGCAGAAGACAAGTGCATCAACCCATCATGCACTAACAAACCCAAGTTCATCACACTCTTTGGAAGAAGTTACTAAATAGTTTCAATTTCAATTAAAACAAGAGCAACTTTTTATAAAAATATATATTTATTATTTATATTTGTGGTTTTATTCCATTTTTCTATCATTCCATAATAAACATTTAATATAGGTAACATCATTGTTGTCTAACACAAGTTTATTTCAATTAGTTTGTATATAACAAAATTTTAACCCATACATCACCAAACGGTCACCGGTGACCGCTCTCCACTAACTACATTATAGACCTTATTTTCAATGTTTAGATACTACTTTTGTATGAACAAATTTAGGGGATGAATTTCAACGGGTTGATTCAGTTCAAGAAACAAATGCAAGTAGAGATAGGAAACTGGAAAGATAATTTTGATACAAGTGAACTTCTTGCTACTATCATATTTTAACAATTATTGGTCATTGGTTAGTAGCTAAAACATTAGAAAATTTCTGTAAGCCCCCTTCCATAACCTGTATTCTTCTTTTCTTAGCATTCAGCAGCTGCACAAACTTCCCATAAAGACTTGTCTCCAAAGAGGATTTGATATCTACAAACTTTTCCAATTCTGCTTTGCATTTCTTCAAATCTGAGTCGATAACATCGTTTTTGCCATTGAGATCGTGTATAACATTTCTCAGTTCTTTATTCTCTTCTATTAAAAAGTCTAGTAGCAAGTCTTTAGATTCCTGAGCAGTGTCACGGTACACTTGTACTGAGCCGTGGACGAGGAGGGCCAGTCCATGCATCGAGTCTTGGAACTTCTTTTTCCAGGTAAACGTAGCGGTGTTATCATCATCCGGATTTAATGTAAAATCGTAAGTAAAGCCACTATGGTCACGTCCTTTTAAATTCTTTTTCACTTGTTTAATGTATTGTTCCTCAGATTCTTCAAAACGTTCTCTGTATTTTTTAGCAACGTCGTTTGTAAATTTTCCTGACCATGATATTTCGCCGTCAAAAATTTTGATGTGAAATAAGTCATGATTGTTCTGTTTCCATAACACTTTAACGTACAGCGTTCTGCCTTTTACGTCGAATTTCGTGATGGACGTGTTTTTTTTAATATTTTGATCCATTATGGCAATGGATTAAAATACTTTCTTGGGACCTGTTGGAACTTGTTGATTTGATTTTGTTTACCAATTTGACAGAACAATATGGATGGCTTGGATGGTACATTGACATATTAAATGGTATGACAGATGACATATGACAATGTCATTGTAGTTTCCGTTGACCATAGACATTGTCAGAAAATATACACCTTATTTTTTGTTTTGGTATTTTTATCCTCTCAAACGTCTCATAATGTTTCTTTTTTTTATACTTAATGTGAAAGTTTGGATGGATGTTTGTTACTCAATCACATGAAAACTGAGCAAAGGCATTACACAAGTCGATTATAGTCTGAATACAGGCCTTTTTTTCAGAATTTTGTGTGAATGCAAAAGTCACATGATTGAAAGCGTAATGCAGACTCAGACTACACACCTTACGAATTATCTGTGCAGTTTTAACTGTACCTACAGTTAAACCGTAGGTAAAGTGTACGAAATGCTTATTGTAACTCAATCGACCGTATTGTCGTCCCCAGTAGTTCCTTATTCCTTTTCTGTCTACCACTAATGTAAGTAGGTACCTAGGGAGGTTTTAGTACACAGACCTACTTACCTTCCCCTTGTTACAATTTTCAAACAATAGATAGGTACCTATTTAAATCGTTTCATAGATATAAATTATTATCACTGTTGTTTACATTAAATTATTTAGGTATCAGAAAAATATCAGACCACCTTAATTGATTTATCTTGTATGATGTATAATTGTGATTTTGCTGATAACGCGTAAATTAATTTAGTACGAAGGTAATAAATAATCGAAATACAAGACGCCTCTAGATTTTATCGTTAGAAAAAGTCTTTAGAAACGTGTTTGTAGCCGCACCGCACGACTACATACCTACCAGTTACCAGTACCACCGAATACCTTTCCATATACCAGATACCTTCCACAATACCTTTACCAAAGTTATAGACTCACTTCGTTTAAAGAAACAAGAAACCAATTGTCTTGAAAAAGACAGTTTACTACTACTAGAAGATAAGAAGAAACCTCCTCTAGGACACTAGGCTCTCCTACCTAGCTCCTAAACTGGTGACCCCGACGCTGCCAACGGATCTCTGCAAGAATCAATCAATCGCCGCCTAGTACTACAGAAAATCAAGCTCGTCGTAATGTCCAACTCCAACGAAAAAACGCCGGAACTCTCCAGCGTGTCGACGTCACTGCGCATCCCACCCATATGGCGCGACAGAATACGCCTATGGTTTGCGCAGTTCGAGGCGATTATGTCTCCGCAGAAAAAGGGCGACCAAGCCATGTTTGAGCTTGTCGTCGGTCATCTCGAAAGACAAGACCTCGATGAAATATCCGACATTATCCTTCATCCTCCGGAGAGAGACCGCTACGAAACCCTCAAAAACAGACTACTCCAGGTCTATGAGGAGTCTGAACAGCGTCAAGTTCAACGCCTTCTCTCCGAGATGGAGCTCGGCGACTTAAAACCATCACAGTTACTTCGCCGGATGAAGAATCTCGCCGCGGATAATATATCTGACGCTGCGCTTCGTATTATGTGGACAAACCACCTCCCCCAGTCCGTGCGCGCAGTCCTCGCTGTCAGCGACAACATCGCTAAACACTCGGACATCCACGATCTAGCGATGATGGCTGACAAAATACTCGAACAGACGCAACCTCATGGCACAGTCGCTGCTGTGACTGAAAACCCCGCTTTCCCCCGAGTACCTACAAGTATTGAAGACAAAATCGATATGCTTACGAGGGAAATCGCCGAACTCAAAGCAGCACAATCTAACCATCGTTGCAACCGTCAGTCGAGACGACCTCAGAACAGATCGCGATCATCGAACCGATATCGCTCCCAGTCCAGACAGCGCGATAACACTCCACGCCGCACGGAATCTTCTGGAATTTGTTATTACCACCGCAAGCGCCTAACCTGTTGCGGCGTCCCGCTCGGACGCTGCTCATGGCACAGAGGGTCATGGCGATCCGAATGATCCGCGGATACCGCACGATCTCTGGGGAGTCGGCGAACCTCCTTGCCGGATTACCGCCGTGGGATCTGGAGGCGAAGGTGCTCGCGCGCGTGCACAGCATGCGCGCGGAGGCACGTCGCCGGGGCGAAACTCCGCTGCCGCGCCAGATAAGTGCGTGGCGGGATGAGCTCCGGCGCGATCTCATGGCGGAATGGCAGCAACGACTGTCGCAACCGAGGACTGGGCTCGCTGCCATCGCAGCGGTAAGTCCCCTCTTTGAGGAGTGGCTTGAGAGACGCTACGGCGTCCTCACCTACCGCCTGACGCAGGTCCTCACCGGACATGGCAGTTTCGGGAGGTACCTGTGTCTGATGGGGCGGGAGGAAACGCCCGGGTGTCATCACTGCGAGGACCGCCCTGAGGACACGGTGGAACACACGGTGGGAGAATGCCCTTCGTGGGCTGAGCACCGCCGTGTCCTCAGGGAAGTGATCGGCGATGGCGACCTCTCGCGTCCGGGCCTAGTGCAGGCCATGATGCGGAGCGAGGGGGATTGGGATGCCGTCTCCTCCTTTTGCGAAGCAGTCATGCTAGCTAAGGAGGAGGCGGGACGCGTGAGGCAGCGAAGCGCTGCCTCCTCGCAACCCAGCCATCGCGAAGGACACACCGGGCGTCGGGGATCGCGGGACGATCTCCGGCCACCGTAAGCGCGGGCCTGCGGACGGCGAGCATGGGTGGCTCCCCGTCCGACCAGAAACAGACCCGAGCGTACGGCGCGTCGCGTTCCGCGCGCGCCTCAAAGAGCCATCAGACCACCACAGATGGGGTCCAATAGGGCCGATGCCGATTCGGAGTCGCGGAGAACCTAACGGGTAACCGGGGCTCCGGCTCGACGTGCAGGAGAAGGAACGGGGTGGTTTTTAGTCAGTAAGAGTCTGACACTCCCTCCCGCCTCACCCAGGCGGGGGCAGTCATTCGATGATTTTCCCCCCTTAAAAAAAAAAAAAAAAAAAAAAAAAAGTCTCCAGCAGAAGCGACAAGTACTTCACATTACAAACACCTAGAGGTACTACCAACGTGTCTATCGAGCGTCTGAAGCCTGCCTACGTCATTAATTACGATAACTCGGACAACTGTGCGACGCTACCAGAGGCTATCCAGGATCAACCCAGTCAACCTCCGTCGAGCATCAGCGATGTACGAAAAACGCGAACAGGAAGAATCGTCAAGACCCCAGTACGCTTCGCTCGGGGGGGAGTACTGTAGCCGCACCGCACGACTACATACCTACCAGTTACCAGTACCACCGAATACCTTTCCATATACCAGATACCTTCCACAATACCTTTACCAAAGTTATAGACTCACTTCGTTTAAAGAAACAAGAAACCAATTGTCTTGAAAAAGACAGTTTACTACTACTAGAAGATAAGAAGAAACCTCCTCTAGGACACTAGGCTCTCCTACCTAGCTCCTAAATGTTTAAGATGCGAAAGTAGGTACCTACTTCAGACAATCGCCGCTTTTGCTGGTCCTGATATGTACCTAACCTATGTATGTACAGTCAAGAGTCAAAACTCCACTGCCACCGTGAGAAATGTTCACACGGCAATGCGTAAGTAAATTCATATTAATGTGCATAAAAACGCTGATAAAAATATGCGTGTGCATGAGTGTATAAACGCTGCAGCGCAACCGATAGTAGTCTTACGATGGCAAGTGGACTTTTGACCTTTGACCGTACAAGAGTAGCATGTAAAATTACGTATTCGAAATTCAAAGCCTAATATGGTGGTATTGGTGGTAATTAAACTTCATTCATTATATCAATGTAGGCTGTAGCGACTAGAGATTCTCCTAAAACTTCAGTCAAACTCAAAATGTACGGCATTGGGGCTATCGGTGTACGGTGTTCAGTCTAATCTAGTGAATATTAAGACTAGTCTCGAAAGCCTCAATTTTCACCTCAGAGGCCTTAGTACGAGTTTGTTTTACGTTTAAAGTAATCGTAACGAGTACGCGTTCGGCGCTCTGATTGGTTGGTTCAATGGCGCCGGCCAATCAGAGTGCCGAACGCGTACTCGTTACGAATACTTTAAACGTAAATGAAACTCATACTAAGCCCTCAGTACGTAAGTACGGCGCGTCACGTTCCGCGCGCGCCTTATAGAGCCATCAGACCACCACGGATGGAGCTCAATAGGGTTGATGCCGATACGGAGCCGCGGAGAACGTAAAAGGTTACCGGGGCTTCGGTTCGAAGTACAGGAGTAGGAACGGGGTGGTTTTTAGCCAGTAAGAGTCTGACACTGGCGAGAGGGATCTCGCCTCATCCAAGCGAGAGAAGTCATTCGATGATTTTCCCCCATAATAAAGTACGTAAGTAAGTTAACTTCCTTTTTTAGGAATTTCCGCTCCAACTCCAATAATTATAAAAAAAATATATCAAAATTGACAACATGTGGACGAAAATAGTGCCGTGCGAAGGCAAGTTAAAGTCGCTAATCGAGGTACCTACTCATATCATAGGTCAGGAGCTTTATCTACAATTTGTTTATCAAACATATATTTTGATTCATGCCTGTGATTCCAATCAGAAGATTTAGATTGAATAAGGGATTAAAATGATAAAACCTCTATGGTATAGTAGCAAAGCAAATACAGAAAAACCGAAAGATTTAATCTTGAACGTGTATAAAACGTAACGATTTTTAGAAGATAAAATAAATATATTGTTTATTTTTTTTTACAAAAACTAATGAGCAAAGTCCAATTTAATTGTTTTTCATAGATATAGCTAGATAGATATCTACACAACAAAGCTTCTACTTTTAATTTTAAATAACATTTATAGATCATTACTAACTAGCCTTAATCACTCAACACGTGTCTCATTACCAGGCTCAGCCAGGCTGATTACTATGGTCCTACCTACCTACTCAATACTATGGTCGAAAGAGTTGTCTACCGTTTACCGATAGCATTGCTGAAAGCACTGTGCTTTACATTTTTTTTAAATATTTTTAGCAGCTTGTAAAAGAAGAAAAAACATAGCTATAAAGAATGTTGTTAAGAAATCAAATAACAGTTGGATCACGCAAGATCAATTTTTGTACAGATTTGAATTGCCCACAATTTTACAATAACCTGAGTAATAAAGTGATCTGCGTCAGATTCCACGTGATACATGTGTTGTGTTGGATTGTTATCTAGGTAGGTACATCAGTTGGGGTAAATAAATATCATAACGTTGCGCGTTCGAATCCCCGAAGAGGATAGGCAGAGCAGCAACTTTTATACCAGTTGTAAGTCTCCTATCTAGCTATCTTATATACCTGTAATTATAGTTAATATTCACGGGTCATGATCCAAACCCTATTTTTAAAAAACCCGACATACCAATCCGAATCTGAAACCCATTGCTTAGTAGTACCTAGTAGTCGCGCTTGTACGCCATTGGACCGACGAGGCAATCGGGCAAATAGTTATTGCATTTTATTATTTTTTAATCCCCATCCTAGACTTGTGGATATTTTGATAAACCTGAACCTTTGTGATTTCCAAGTTGCAACCCAAGCGAAGCGTAGAGATTTCAGGGAAGCAGACGATGTGGGAGCGTTGGTTATCCACAAAGCCAGTCTCAAACCGGAGCTTGAAGCAGGAATAGGAATAGGTGGGTCTTACTCAGTAAGAGTCTGACACTCTCTCTTGCCTCACCCAAGGCGGGAGGAGATGGATGACTTTTTTCCTTCAAAAAGAAGTTGAGACTAGGGCTAACCTTTATGTAGAGGCCCACACCCCATTAGTCCAACAATAAACTTTTACGGGTTGTTTGATGATCTTCAAGATTAATGCTACTAAATAAAAAAGCTTGGTATATACCTACAGGTTTTACCCAGAGATTAAAATGTTCAATAGAAACAATGAAACAATAAGCTCTTGACAGTTAATTAGACTAGATTAATTTTCTTTTGCTTGATTTCTTACCAAATATATCAATGACTAAGCCGTGTGCAGTATATGTATCGATGTAAGCACTGTCCTATCAGGTACACAGCACATCTAGCTACCCAAAATTACGAAAATTATCTAATCAATCTTAAACTTTAACCCAAAGTCGTAAGGTTGGAAATCTATTGAATATCTTTTCCTTGTGGGGTAATTTGATGTGTCTGTGTTTACGTATATAATGTGTAGTCACGTGTAGTGATTATCAGTAAAGCAAGGACCATGGCTACGTATAGGACGCTTATGTTGTTGTGCTTCTTGGCCGCACCAGCGATTGGTGAGTAACTTATAGAATTGGTGAATATCCGTCAGCATCATCATCGCTGTTTTCATCCAGATAGTGCTTACATTGCCATCATCCTATAAGTGTCCACTGCTGATCAAAGGCCTCTTATCACAAGGAGAAGATTTGAGCATTACTCACCACTCTTTCTCAAGGCGGGTTGGCGATTTCGAATTTAAGTAGGTACAAAACGAACCGAACCTATATGTGTGCCTACCTACCGCATCTGAAAACACGCTCTAATTCACGATGTAAGATTTTGAGTGGAAAATAAGTATATCCTCAGTTTCCTCATGACGTTTTCCTTCGCCGTTTGTCAGTTGTGTCCACAGAAATATTAAAAATTCTTTAATATGTCTGTGGTGGTGTCTAAATAATCTTAGGCCCGTATTAATAAATAAGTCTCAATCACGATATCAAGACCGGCATCAGTTGATACGTTCTCAAGATGCGATCAGCATCTTTAGAAAGTGTCTAAATCGATAACTCGGAAAATAGTCACATCGGTCTTTTCCGGTTCTCGAATTCGCACCCCCATGCAATACCGTATTTATCATAAGGGCACACGGGGCCCGTGCCCAGGGGGCCCCGAATGACCGACAATTTCTACGATGGACATACACCCGCTTACCCGCTACGTTCTAACTTGTAGCGGATTCGATACCCGCATGGAGCATTATCTTTGTGTGCTCCACAAATTGTTGTTTCGTTTTCGGGCCTGGGTTAAAAAAAATCATTCTAAAAGTGCTTCGAATTATTGTGCTCAAGTTTAGTCTAAGACGAACCTGCCCTCCTTCACTTGACTGCTCAGATAGACCACTTCAATAACAAGCCATCTGAGCTGTCTTCAGGTCCTTGTTGAATTACGTAATTGTTTAGTACCTAAATCATTATTATTGTCGTTTATTTTTACCATTTGTAATTAGATGGGTAAATATATTTTTTTGCCACCTAATTATTATAATTTGGTCATTGAGATAGGTCACAGTCAATGATCACGGTTTCATTAAGTACCTACGTTTTAAATTCGTTATTGTTATCTATAATTTTCCTTATAAGATTGGCTTATTTTTTTATAAGTAGGTACTAGTAGGTATGGACCTAATTAGGTAATTACCTATTTATACAAAGGTATCGTAAAAATAAATAGGTGATTAAGCATTGCTTAGGTATATCTTAATTACCTACTTATTTTTATTATATAGGGTTCAAAGTAGGTATAATCTGACCTATCATCATCATCAGCAGCCTATACGTGGCCACTGCTGACCAAAGGCCTCTTCTAACACGGAGAAGGAGCATTAAACACCACGCTTGCTGCGGTTTGGCGATTTCAAACTTACAATTAAAAATTATAAGCCCAGGTTCCCTCACGATGGTTTCCTTCACCGTTTGTCAGTGGTGTCTAGATATTCTTAGAAAGTAGTACAAATAGCTCGGATAAGTCACATTGGTACTTGCTGTTGGTAGGTTCCGAATCCGCACCCCCATGCATGAGAATGAGAAGCGGGTGTCTTAACCTCTGGGCCATCACGACGCGTTCTAACCTATGGAGATATAGTACCTATTAGAAATCAAATCATCAAAAGAAATCTTTTGATGTTCGACTTAATCGAGGATTATTATTAAAGGGAATTTGTGTAATACCACGACCACGGGCATAGTAAGGTACGCTAAAATGTAATACTGTATGTTTTTGTTTCAGGAGCATGGCAGGGAGGATTAAATGGTAAGAAAACCTTATTTACCTATATTTCAGGCAACGGGGACTATGATAAAATGCTTTCTTCCATGTCCGTCAAGTAGATTATTATGAAATATGGAACGATCAACGCTTGCGCTGCGTTTCGTCGTGTGTGTGAGGTTACCCGTGGCCCAATTACCGGAATCCCCCACAATCCTCAAGTTCCCAATTCTCAAAATGCCCGTAACGCACTTGGAACGCCTCTGGTGTTTCAGGTGTCCATGGGCTTGCCTCAGGCGATCCGACTGCTCGTTTACCGGCTTATCCCATAAAAAAACCTATAATGCCCTGTCCACACACATGCCAAACCTCAATAAACAAATTCAAATGAGGGAATGAAGTGTTTGATTTGCTTTGCATAGGTTTGCAATCGCTTTGAGGCTAAAAAGGCTCCGATTGAGTGTCGGTTTTCTGACGCAAATCTATGATTTTCCGTTCCAGTTCGTTTCGACATCACAGTTGTCGGTATTGGAGTTACGGCGTTCATAGAACTGCCCCAGTCCAACACGACAGCGCTTGAAAAGAGCTGGGTGCAGGTGACCCGGCCTGAAGGTCCTGCCGGGTTAGCTTCACTGGTCCTATGGTGCCCACCCACTGACTACACTGTTTGTGTGCTAATTGATGATACTGGGTACATCGCTGGTCTGCAAGTCGCTGTAAGTATTTTGCTCTTAGCTTCTATGTTCTCCTAGTACTTTTTCTGTTCGTTACTCATCGGCAGCAGATTTGAAATCGGTTGTTAATCTGTCAAACACCAAGCGGTCACCGGTGACCGCGACCTATTGTTCTTTAATTGTGTCTATAAAACCGGTATTCGACGAGTTAAGTCATGATACAGCATGCTCGGGGAGGAGTAATTTTCAGCACAGTTTTTTTCTGAACAGCTTCGTAGACTTATTATAACCAAGTAGTATAATAATTTAGAAATTATCTTTGTATGAGTACGTATGTATGTTACTACGTATGGCTAGGCTAATAATTGCCTAGCCATAGTAACTGTCAATTTCAACCTTCGAAGTGATCGGAGTCGCGGAGAACCTAAAGGGTTACCGGGGCTCCGGCTCGAAGCGCAGGAGAAGGAACGGGGTGGTTTTTAGTCAGTAAGAGTCTGACACTCCCTCCCAGGCGGGAGCAGTCATTCGATGATTTTCCCCCTTAAAAAACCTTTGAAGTGAACTCGATCGCATTCTCGCCCGTTATTTCTGGAGTTCATTTCGATCTTTCGAATTGAAAGTTACAGAATATCTTAGTTGACATTCTGGGTAAGTAATTTATTTATTGTAGAGAGAGTGCATAGCTTCATTAGAGGACTGGACTGACTGACACACAGACAATTTTAATTTTGTTTTTTCAATAATGCCTATTGAAATAAATGTTGACTTTGACTTTAGTTCGTAAGTGTAAACCATATTTTTAACTAGCGACCCTCCCCGGCTTCGCACGTGTGCAATATACATATATTATAGGTACATACAAAACTTCCTTAAAATCACTCTATCTATTAAAATAAACCGCATCAAAATCCGTTGCATAGATTTAAACATCTAAGCATACAAGCATAGACTTTGTTTTATACTATATAGTGATAGTGATCATTATTATTGGACGTTGCGTGTTTGTCGTGATTTTATCAAACACTCCCTTTTTATATCACTTCACATAATCCAATGTAATTCCGTGATAATAACAAACTGCAGTTTATAACTACATTCGAATCACTCACCTGATTGGATAAATTATCTAAATAATTACTTAGGTAGGCACTGATTCATTTTTAAAACTGTCTAAAAATGAGATACAGTCAGATAGGTCAGATAGTAACGAAGTCACGAAGCGATTTTCCCCCCGGGCGCTCTGAGGCCTTAGTAGGTACGAGTTTATGTTTAAAGTAAAGGAGGCCATACACGCTAGGTTATGCATGATGGTTATAAACAACTGTGCATGCAAAACCGACAAGCATAACCGAGCACCGATGCACCGATAACTGTACAGTTTAATCACATGCACGCTAGGGCTTGCCTGTCGGTTATGCTTGCACGGCTAACCATCATGCAAAACCTAGCGTGTATGGCCTCCTTAATGTTGCGGAGAACCTAACGGGTTACCGGGGCTTCGGCTCAAAGTGCAGGAGAAGGAACGGGGTGGTTTTTAGTCAGTAAAAGTCTGACACTCCCTCTCGCCTCACCCAGGCGGGAGCAGTCATCATTCCCCCCTAAAAAAAAATGGCCTCTTTAATCGATTTTTGATGGTTGGTTCATAGGAGCCGGCCAATTAGAGTGCCGAACGCGGTTTCGTTTCGAATACTTTAAACGGTAATCAAATTATTAACGCCTCTGGATCGGTTGGCAGGCGATCGCAATGGCAGGGTCGGTCTGGAACCCAACTGATTGTTTAACCGCCCGTCTTGCGATAATTAACCGCTAAGTTTGCGGGCGATAATCGCAACCATGGCGGCTGCGGGTACGCAGAAAATTGTGGTCTCGTGAGTTTTGAAAATAAATCTCCATTCCGAGACCGCGACGGGCGCCGGTGAAAAACGCATCGTGAGTCCGTCGCGAAAGACTAATTCAGTAGGTACAGATGCAGTAGGTAACCCTGGTTGGCTAATGGCTATACCAAAACCTTTTTTATACCACTACGACGGTGGCAACAACAAAGCACACGGCCCACCTGATGGTAAGTGGTTACCGTGGCCTACAGTTCTGAGCTGACTCAGTTACAAAAGAAATGACTTTGTTAGAAAGTAGGTATTTTATCTATTGTTATTATTTAGCTTTAGTTTTTTTTTATACATATTTCTTATTTTTCTGTTACACACTGTGTCTTTTGTTTTAATTAGATTTCCTGTCTCAGGTCTACTGGAAGAAATTCCAACAGGAATAAGTAGCACCTTTGTACTCTTATGTTATATATGTGTTATCCTCTGTGCTGTCTGTGTGTACATAAATTATTAAATAAATAAATAGGTATACAATTTAGTATAACAATAGCCAGTCTATACCTACTGCCACTGTGTCTAGACCAAATTAGCCTAGATTAGGTTACCTACCAAAACTGAACACGAATGGAGTTTCTTGCTCGTTCTTCTCCATAGGAATCTACACCTTGGAATGACCAAATAGCTTCACTTTTAATTTTATTGTTAACGTTCAAAAGTGCCTTTCTGGTCTAATTGAAATAAATGATTTTGACTTTGACTTTGAACCTATGATTATTAATTTCGCTCTTCCTTTTGAACTCAACTGATTGTTATAAAATACGACTTTTTATTTTGCAGCTGGACATAGAGAAAGTGACCGGCAACATTTATGACATGAGAACACAAGGATTCACTTACTGGACAACAAACATGAATGGAGAAACTAAGAATTACTGGACTACGCAACAGTACTACATTTCACCTGGTAAGCATACGTTCAAGTATTTATGATTGTCCCATAGGCCCGTAGATACGAGTAAGAAAGGTCCTCGAGAAGACAGGGATTACTAAGGGGAACTACTTATACACTATACCTGCCCTAATTTCTACTACATTCTTAACGATAAATTACAGAGGTTTACCAACATAGTTAATGAGATACAGAAATTAATATCACAAAATGTCCTTTGTAATTAGAAACGCTAGCGACTGACCCAGCTGCCAGAATAGCGGCGCGTGACCCCAACCTGATGCTGCAGGACCATTCCATCTACGTGTCTGGCCTCAACGGGGAGCTGTACGCAATCTCCACCAATACCAGCGACATTGCCCACAACAGTGACTTCACGGAGCAAGCTTGCATTCCTGGGATGGGTAAGTGGAACACCTGAAGGCATATACCACCACTTTTCTTACCATCAAATTGCCACCTGTCTGGCTCAACCTCATAGCTTCATTTGTTCTTCTTCAATGTAGGTATTGTACGTTGGTATACATTGGCACTAGTAGTCGGTAAGGTGTTGATGACATATACAGGACATGGTTATCAAGATTCATTCAAGCCTCAGGATCTGTGCTCCTACGAATGGGGGGATTTTTGAAAAAATACTATTATTTTACCCGACACAGAAATTGACAATGAAATCCCTTCTCAACCAACGAGGCGAATTTTTATGTTTTATATAATATATCGATTGTTATTTCAGGTGACCACTACTATTACAAGATGACTCCGGAACTGTCGTGCACAGAAGATAACTTACTGCCGTGGTTCCCCTTGGTGCACTCCGATCAGCTCATTGGTATCGGTATGGTCACCTACGGCAGACACGTCGTAAGCGAGGGTGCCACGGACTGGTTCGAGACCCCCACTAGGGGTGTTATTATGGTAATTTTAATTTTCACTTCAAAGTGGTTAATTTATTTTATTGTTACTACCTAATAAGTTAATCAAAATACGGCACTGATGGTCTGATAATGAAAATTTTACGTGTCGAAAGCCAGGCGGCTTTCATGTGAAAGCCAAACATGACTCCTACCTCGTCAGTCATGTTTGGACACAAATGGGCCGGTTCGACCAGTGATGCTACGTTCTCACAACTTGATCTCCAAATCCTAATCTCTAAAGTCGGCAAGGCACTTGTAACTCCTTGGCTGTTGCGTTATCATTCCTTGTGTTTAATTATTTCTCTTTTTCCAGGCTATCGTTCCCCGAGGTCCCCAGTGCATGTACGACATGGCAGATTCTCCTGGCGTGATCACCATGCATACATACTTCATCAAACATCCATACGAAGTGACGTGTTAGGTTGGATTACTTTTGGCACATGACTCTGATAGTGTATCGACGATATAAAACGCTTAATATTAAAGATTTATGTAATAAGAATGAGTTTTTTTATCGTACTTACTTACCAACGGTGACAAGGGTGTATTTAGAAGAAAAGTTTCACTACGAAATTAACGGACGGGTCTTCATTATGCATGCAAAGTTTGGCAATTTTTTATGCAAAAGCGATGCTCATATCTAATCTGAGATTAGGGAACAGCACCATGTTCCTCATTATTTAAAGTGTACTTACATCGTCGGATTTAGGCATTCTCTTCCAGCCTAACTTCAAGTGACATAACAGGGCAGTGACATAATACACAGTATGAATTAATAATAACACATAAGAAGAGTGAAAATTGTAATAAAATAATAGAACAGTTAACATATATAATATAACTAATTACATTTTCAACTGACACCAGTTGGTGCTTTGAAGGATCGTTTCTTAACTTTCTGCTGTCTCCGCTTGAGATGGCGCTGTATTCTTCCAGAACCTTCCTTCTTCAGTTCCTCGTACTGCTTCACCAAAGCTTCCACACGTTGTTCAGCTGCAATTAACAAATATCAGTTTATTATTCATTATTTGTGCTAGTAATACTGACTGGTATTATATTTTACTAGCTTTTTGCCCGCAGCTTTGCACGGGACAAATTAGTAATTATTATGCATATAAACGTTCCTATTCAGTCAATATCTATAAAAAAAACTCTGTTGCGTGATTTTAATATATACTTGTGTCTTTATAGACCTCTACACAGACACATAGACAGAGAGAAGTTTTGTTTTATACTATATAGTGAATTTCTACATGAAGCATGGTACACATCAATAACATCACCCCTATTTTATCATATTCTTGTTACAAAGCTTTATAGCTTTATTTTTTTGTTTGAAAGTGCCAATCTGAAGAACGACTGGTCCGATTTGAAAAAGTCTTTTGCATTTGATAGTTCGCTTATTGACGAAGATCACTATAGAACATCACGCTTTGATCAATAGGAGCCGAGGGAAGTATAAATAAAGGAAATAACTCTTATTATACAACGCTGCAGAGTTTGTTTGAACACGCTAATATCTGGAACGACTGGTACGATTTTAAAAATTCTTTATGTGTTGGATAGTCCATTTATCAAGGATGGCTATAAACTAAAACATCTCAGTACGACGTAACACAGTTTTTGACTAGCATGGGAGGTAAAGTAAAAAATCTATACCGTCTGTGGGCATTTATTAAATTTTTTGGTATCCGACTTATTGTCTTGTGAATTACTGATATAAATTACTGTTGTTTGCAAGGTGTATATAACTTCATTGTTTTTATTTAGATTTACCTATCTACTACAGAAATGCCACTGCTTATGTAAACTTGTATGTATGCTATATAACTATGATGTTTTGGTCTACCTTGCAATTGTGATTGTGATTTTCTATTTATTCAATACCATTTTGTTAAATAAAAGGTATACTTGTCTTTTGTTTTGCTAAATAAAATTATTCTTATAATAGAAGCTGATCAGTGCGAGTGATATCGTGTGAATGTAGCATGTAGCTAATAAGATACAAAATATAAAAATAACTTACATTTATTCTTAAAGTGTGGCTGTTTTCCAGCTCTAAACTCTTGTTCAATATGTTCTCTATTCTTCTCAACTACTTCTTTCTCCATCTTACTCTTCTTTGTATGTTTATGTTGGTCATTCAACCGCTGTAGTAATCTCCGCAGCTTTATTTGTCTTTCAGGGTCTGTAGTCTCTTTCAATTCCGCTCTTATAGCCTTGATGTCTTTTATACGAATATCGGACAGAAAATTATAGTCTTCTGCAAATTGTTTCTTGTCAAATTCACCACAGAGAGGGTCAAATCTGTAAATGTAATTGTTTTAACATAAGTGTATGATTTTTTATATAAGTTGTTCAATGTGGTACTTACCTATAAATTTTATACTTGTCCTATACTGTATAAGACTTGTTTTTGTTGATGGTTTTAATAGTAGTTTAGTAGGTATAGTTTGGTTTTAAATATCATATTAATAACAGATACTTCATATTTTGTGGATTATCATAAGTTAACTAAAAGAGGTGAAGATTTATATACCCAGTATTTATGTCCATTCATGTTGCGTCTGCCGTCGTTGGCCGAGTGGTCACAAGTGCGACTGCTAGGGGGTCTTGAGTTTGATTTCCGGGTGGTGCAAAGTACTACAGGGTTTTTAAAAAATTTTAAGCGGTAGCACGGAGTCTGGGATTGTTTCCGGTATATGGCAATAGGCTCACCCCCCATTACATGGGAGTCATAACATAAATAGTGAAAAGTGGATGTGACATTGTACAGTGCCATTAAGTGCCGTAATATGTCTATTCAATGACCATTATTTTTTAAATAGGTATAATCTACAAACCTTGGATCACGAATTTCCTTCTTCTTGACAGTTGGTATAGCCTGCAGCATGCGCACAGGTTTCTTAGAGCTCATCTCACGTGGTCTATTCTTGTTTTCTCTTTTAAATATTTTTGGAGCATCACTTTCTTTTTTCTTACCGAACAATGCTTCTTTGTACACTTTGGCACCGATTTTCTCTTTCAGTTTTTGCAATTCCTCAAATGATAACGTCGAAAGCTGTGATCTAATTTCAGTCTGAAAATGAATGTAGTAAACATGAATAAAACCTTTGAGTAAACGATTTTATTTATCTTTAATATCCTGACTTACCCTTTCTTCATCCTGCTCCTCTGCGCTAGAATGTTGGTCGGATTCATCACTGCTGCTCATTGTAGGGCTATTTGTTAATTTTATTTGCAAAATAACAATTAATCAAAATCCACACAACATAAACAAACTTTTAAGGTTATAGTTTTGACACTGACATTTGCCGACTGGCTAACATCCAGTGAGAAACGTTCAGAAATGACGTCTTTCTCGTTCTATCAGGGACTTCTCATGAGGCGGGAAATATAAATTAAAAATTTTATTATTTTAATGTCTGTATTTTTCGAATTTTTCATTATTTAACAAATATGATATTTTGTTATGATAAATATTGTGTTAAGTTAAAGTATAGTGTGTGGAGTGTAAATTTAAGTCACTTTATTATTTTGGAACTATCGGGTACAACAGGATACAACCGACAAGGACGTTGAAAAAAGGTGGTACAATGCTTATTCAAAACTTTCTGATCATATGTAGATAATGGAAAATAAATTATAGTTTTTGGCATCAGAAAAGAGCACTATGTCACAGTGTTGTCAAAATAAATAAGTTGACAAAAATATCAAGATGGGAAATAAGTAAATAATGATTAATTAGGCTTGCATATTACATCAAAACGGCCCTGCTGTAAAAATTTATAAGTATAAGAAATGGTAAAATTTCAATGATGGATTTAGACGAAGCAATCACCGTTACCAAGTTAATAGTACAAGGGGATCCTTGTTATCTAATGGTTGGGTGGCAGTCTGATTCATTTGAAGTTTATCTGTTCAACAAAGAAAAGCTATGGAAGGGACGGTTTTCACCAAATCGACTGGTGGGTTTCAGCAAGAACTTACACATGTCGGAAGTTGCATACTTTGCCAATGTAAAAAGAAGTTTATCCCAGTCGAGAGAAGACTATATTTACGAACTTAAAAGTGGATTTTTCTATTGGAAACGAAAAATTAAAGGATCAATAGTAATAGAAGGATTTCTACCGATGGAACTTGATCCCACACCGAAACATGCACATCCAGATCTCATAGAAGTTCTTGTGGCATTAAATAAACACATGAAACAAAAAGTACACAATCTCAAATCTAGTTTTCAAAGTATCAAGTCAGATTATCAAAAGTGCTTGAGAGACACTGAAGAATTTTTGAACTTAAAAATCGAAATGGAAAAGGCACTCTGCGATAAGTTTCTAAGTTTACTAAGTGTGAAAAGATCTAAAGTAAACTCTTTGAAACTGAATAGAGTATACTTAAAGGATCAAGAAATGTTGGATCTTCATTAGTTGTAAATCGCTATGCCAACGTTGCCTGTGATTGTGACTACAGTTATTGTGCCTGTATTCTACCTTGATAGTGCTGTCAAAAATCGCTTGTTGGCGCCAAAATAAAATCTCGAAAAGAAAGTTAGGAAAAATCTTTCCTCGGTTCAGAAAATATCAGTTACGTTTTTTAAATATTATCTACCGGTAACTTAAATATAACCTGAGTGAGGATCGCCGCTGATGGGAATATTTCGAGCTGTTGCAAACTATAGAAAATGGGCAACTTTCAGAAATAGAATGAAGCGATAAAACCAAACTATCAGAAGTATATGGGACACAATATTTGGTGAAATTTAAAATTTATGAATTTTCACAGGATAATCACTTCGTATTACCTAAGTTAAAAAAATCTTGTGAAATATTAAACTACTCTTTAAATTAAGCCAAAGACTAAAAAGTTGAAAGGTCTTGATTACACTAAATGAATTTAAAATGCTTACGGTGATTTGATTTAAATCTAATTCCTTTTGAATAGGTAATGCACAATTTAATGAATATAAATATCATTTCTGGATTATAAAAAAGACGTGCCGTGTGTGTCTATCCCTGGTTGCAACTGAGTTAGTTGGACAAAAGACGCGGCCTATGCACGCCCATATAAGTATCTAGTTGCTTTTATAGACGAATTTGTATATAGGGATTTCACTTAAGATTTAGTAGGACAGCTCTGTGTACCTAATTGTAAAACGTATATCTGATAATAGAGTAAAAAATAATAGTAAATATTAAAAATACGTACAAAAAGTAAAAGTTTCGGAGGTGTATCTTCACAGCTGCGTACGTATTATCGATATAGTAGTTTTTTAAGTTTCATAAAAGAACAATACGTTGTTTAAATATTATGTACCTCGCAAAATTTGTTTATTTATGGTTCGTTTTCAATTTTAACAGACTGTTTAAACATACATAAACTGTTTTGAGTATTTTATTTTAAGTATTTATTATGTTAATATCTAGTAGAGAAAAATATGAGTGGAAACAAATGGTTCATGCTAATTCCCGAAGACGCGCGTTAGCTTGAATGAAAATGCTACGAAATTTACGTATCTGGGTAAATAAGATGATTATACATATCTTAAGTCAACTACATGATAGAAATCAGTGGGTTATATTCTTACGGACCAATACAAACTAGTAACCGATTTCAATTTTCTTTTTCTGGGTCGGACTCGTTTTTTTTTCAGAAAATCTTTGGAACTAAATATAATACCAACAATCGACCTAAGACCCCGGTTGTACTGGAGCCAACGTGGGTAAATTGTATTGAAAAACAAAACTGCAAGTGGGTTAAAAACCGCCACGGTTCCGACCACGGCTTTAACATAATATTGGATACTGAAACAAATCTATACATGTAATAAAATCATAGAAAAGTTAAAACTTAATGCTATGGGCGTGATTTACAGTGGATACCAAAACCAAAAATATAGTTTTTAGAATTTTTGTCTGTTTGTCTGTATGTATGTCCGGGATGAACTCAAAAATTGCTGCATGGATTTATTTCAAATTTTGCATGAATATTACTAAAAGGTCGGGTCAACATATAGCCTACATATTATTATCATGCTATCCACTACAGGTGAGGAGCTGTGAATGACTATTTTACAGCACAACTAGTTCTTCAATAGACGCTTAATCCAGCCGTAGACAATCACGAGCTGTTGATCAGGGATGGCCCCTGCAGTAGCCTGCAGAGAGATAGTTATTGTTCCTTTGTAACTGTAGCCTGCATAGTTTTCGTAGAACTTTTTTTTAACACTATAATAATTACGGCGACAGATTTCACAAATCAACAGATGTCGTCAGAAGAATCCTACATCGCACATGCAAGGTTTACAAGCGAATAAACACGCGAACCCAAAACCCAACGAACAACTGTTGAGCAGAAAGCCGACCAGGCGAGGAAATCGTGCCTGGCGGAGGATCCTTTTCCGATTTTAAGGAACTATTACTCTCTGTTCCCTAAATAATTTTCTCCTGTGTCGTGAGTGGGTTTCAAAGAGTATAATAAGTATAGGGGAAGTGGGTTCACAAATATACAAGTATAAATATACACAGGACACCCAGATCCGAAACAACAATTTTTAAATCACACAAAGAGTTGCTCCATGCGGTAATCGAACCCGCGACACGTTGCACCACAACTGGTTGTCCAGCCAACCGACTATTCGCAGTACGTGTTACAATTTTTATCACGCCTAATTAGTAACATTTCAATATGAAAAAAGATTTACAATATAATAAATGTTTAATCAACCTTAGCCGTTTTGCAAATATGAAATGGAAAAACACATGGTATATGATGTTTAGTTCAGTCAGTGGGCAACTATATATACCAGTAGTGTCGCAGTCGTTAGTACCACAGCTACAGCCATGATCCGGACAGTTGCTCTTCTTTGCCTTCTGGCACCTGCCTTCATTGGTGAGTACTTTTTTATGGGATAACCCGGTAAACGAGCAGACGGATCACCTGATGGTAAGCAATCAGCGCCGCCCTTGAACACCTGAAACATCAGAGGCTTTACAAGTGCGTTACCGGACTTTTGGAAATTGGTAATGATTTGGGGGACTGGGGAGGGCAATTGGGGCTTCGGTAACCTCATTCACACGACGAAACACAACGCAAGCGTTGTTTATGTCAGTTTTCTATAAGGCCGTGGTGTCACTACGGTTGCGCCGGCTCATTCGTGCCGAAGCATGGCTCTCCCACACTCACTTTTTTAATCACTGAATTTTGTGTGCAAACGGTTTTTTTAATTCATGAATTTGAAAAGCTCCATAAGCATTATTTACATCAATAAGACACGATAATTGGATGTTTTTATGGCATAAGCCGGCAAACGAGTGTACGTATCACCTGATGGTAAGCAATTGGCGCCACCCATGGACACCCAAAAAATCAGTGTGGAGTTCAAGTGCGTTGCCAGCATCAGTGTGGAGTTATTTTGAGGATTGCGGAGATTAGAGGAACACTGGGCCTCCGGTAACCTCACTCACATCACACGGCGAACCACAATTGTTTCACGCGTTCTCTGTGAGGCCGTGGTATCAATCCTGTCGAGCCGACCCATTCGTGTCGAAACACCGTTATTAACTGTAATCACTAGAATCAAGTTGATCCCACTTGTATTATGTACTTACCGTTTGGTATCAATTTGCGTAATTTTTTGTTTCAGATGCTTTCGAAGTTGGCTTCAGAAGTAAGTAAAACGCATATGTATAATAGGGTACCTAGATGCCTAATTATTATTTTAATGTCCGTCTGGTAGATTATTTTAAATCATTAAACACGTATTTTTATTTTCTTACAGAAACGAATACTTTCGACGATCTATTGATTTGAAATGTCGTGTGACGTCACTTCTATGTACATTTTATACGTAGAAATGACGTTTTAGCCCGCACTCTTAAACTTTGATTCGTTTTATCTAAGTATTGTTTTATTAAATACGACAAAAAAACGTGTGTAATATTTTTTCATTACCTGACTTACGGACTAATTAGATTTTTAATTTTCATACCCCGTCATCATCCCAATTCTAGCTTATCCTAAAATGATATTTATTTCAAAATCAGTGAATGTACCACTTCGTAGCCTATTTGTACGAATTGATAATTTCATTTCAATCAAATAATAAAATTCATCTAAAATGTCTCGGGCGTAAAGGAACAAACATATATTTTCCAGGAAGGTTTGATTTAAACCCCCTCAACAATGTATTCATGGACTGTCCGCGTACTAATGCCTCTGCCGCCAAGGAGAGCTGGGTGAACGTGGAGAGACCCTACAGTGCTGAGGGATATGAAGCCCTACAGCTGTGGTGCCCCGCAGACGACTACGTGTTCTGTATTCTTACTGACGAAACTGGTAACACTGCTGGTGTTCAAGTCTCGGTACGTAAATAATATTCTATTTTTCCCTGTCATTGTAGCGGTAAGTCCCCTCTTTCAGGAGTGGCTTGAGAGACGCTACGGCGTCCTCACCTACCGCCTGACGCAGGTGCTTACCGGACACGGAAGTTTCGATAGGTTCCTGTTTTGGATTGGGCGGGAGGAAACGGCCGGGTGTCATCACTGCGAGGATCGCCCGGAGGATACGGTGGAGCATACGGTGGCGGTGTGTCCTGCGTGGACTGAGCACCGCCGTGTTCTCAGGAATGTGATCGGCGACGGCGACCTCTCGCGTCCGGCTCTGGTTCAGACCATGGTACGGAGCGAGGGGGACTGGGATGCCGTCTCCTCCTTTTGCGAAGCAGTCATGCTAGCTAAGGAGGAGGCGGAGCGCGTGAGGGAGCGAACCTCACGACTGGCCGTCGCGAGAGACACTCCGGGCATCGGGGATCGCGAGACGATCTCCGGCCACCGTAAGCGCGGGCCTGCAGACGGCGAGCACGGGTGATTCCCCGCCCCACCAGAACTAGGCCCGAGCGTACAGCGCGTCGCGTTCCGCGCGCGCCTCAAGAAGCCATTAGACCACCACAGATGGGGCCCAACAAGGCTGATGCCGATACGGATCCGCGGAAGACTTAACGGGTTGCCGGGGCTCCGGCTCGAAGTGCAAGAGTAGGAACGGGGTGGTTTTTAATCAGTAAGAGTCTGACCTGGGCGCCGCACCTGGGCGGGAGAAGTCATTGGAGGATTTATCCACCTCAAAAAAAAGGCCATGTAACTTGGGAAAACCACCTAACAGTGTTTCGGAAAATAATATAAATACCAATGGTAAATACTAAAATGTATTAAATTATATTATATACCATTGCAGGTCCGCGTTGACACATTTACTCCGGTGTATGACATGGAAGATCTTGGTTTCCAAAACTGGTCGGCCGACGTTGATGGAGAGACCATTGAATACTACACCAAGGCTCAATACTTCGTGTCTGCAGGTATGTCGTATTCGTTAGCTTAGTGTAATTGGGTATAGCTAGACATCGACACAAAATCAAAGGGTTTTTAATCCGATCTACTTATTTTCCCATTAGATGCGGCCACTCGTGTTGCTTACACAAACCCTGAAAAGTCACTCATCAGAAATGACTACGTAACAGTAGAAGGCTTCAAAGACCAGCTAGTGAATATAGCCAAGTATGCCAGTGACCTCGACAGCGTCTTCACTAAGCAAGCCTGCATTACCTGGATGGGTAAGTCTCTACATGCATTAAAGTACTGACTAGAACATATATTTAAACCTCTTTCCTTATGATTTCTTGTTGGTGATTTCATAACTGACGAAATAACACACAGTAGACTGACCCGTCCACGGTCACCAGTACATTGATCAATAATTTAAAAACTTTTAGACCGTAAAAAGCCTATACTTGACATGGAAGTTCCCTAGACAGCTCCTTACAGGATTACGTAAAATATTAAAATTTTCAAGTATATTTTGCAAAATTCCGGAATGAAATTATAATAATGTTGAAACCAAAATTATCTTTGGTCGGAAGAGAAAGATACGCACCTGATTACATAATACCTTTATTCATAACCTTCAAACCTTCAAGAAAGGAGCGTATTCCTTTTTAAAAGGCCGGCAACGCACCTGTGACTCCTCGTGTGTTGCAGGTGTCCATGGGTGGCGCTGATCGCTTATCCGTCCGCTCGTTTGCCTCCTATTCCATAAAAAAAGTAGTTTTGTTCATAAGACAGAAACAGGTAAGACATTAAAGTGCTAGAGACGTATAATGTGTATGTGATGTATGTTCCAGGTCTCCACTACTACTACAACATGACCACAGACCTGGAATGCACTTCCACCACCATGTTCACCTGGTTCCCCTTATACGATGGCGGCGAACTTGTTGGTATGGGATTCATGGTGCCTGGCAAAGTTAATTTGCCTAAAGGAGGCTTCGACCATTATGAACACCCTAATAAGGCAGCGGTTAAGGTAATTATTGTAAAATGTGTTTTGAGTTACTAGCTACGGGACTATACATTGATAGAGACCGGGCAACAGCGTTCTCTGAAATCTGAAGAATAAGTGAAGGCAAACCTTCATACGTAGAGGGGTCCCATAGTCTCAATATTCATTAGGAGAAAGAAATTTTTATATTATTAAACAAATATTTTTTTGTAATTATTACAGTTGATCGTGAAATCGGGCCCTAAGTGCATGTATGATGATGTCGACAAAAACGGCGTCACTACTATGCACATATACTTTACAGAGCATCCCCGTAGAATCATCTGTTGGTTTTAAATAAACTTTTTTTTCGATCGAACACGGACAAAATTATTGTGCTAAATGTAAAATGATCTTAAAATGTACCTGTATTCCGCAATGTTAATAAATTTTGTTGAAAAAATTCTGTTTATTTTCTTGACTTTTGCCATATTCTTTAAGGCATAGGCTGACGGATCACCTGATGGTAAGTGCACTGATCATGGAGACCATCGACACCACAGAAGTTCCAATTGCGTTGTGGACTTTTTGGCGGCTAGGGATTTGAGAGACTGGGGAGATTGGGGAAAGGAGGACTAGGGCCTCCGGCAATCTCGCTCACGGGGGTGCATAACGAAAGCGTTGTGTCATGTTGGTTTTCAGTTAATAACATTTGCATTCATCCATCTAGAACTGCATTGTTGCACAAAAGCATATTATGTCTGGGTCCTAAAATTTATAATAAAATACCTAAATTCATACAAGCCTTAAATTTTAACATGTTTAAAAATAAACTCAAACGTTTGTTACATAAGAAATGTTATTATAATATAGAAGATTTTTTTAAAGATAAATTTGATTTGTAATACAATTAATGTAATTTTGTTGTACCTGTAACTGTTAATATTGTCTTCTTGGTCTTTTTTGCTTTCATTTTACCAGTAACATTTAATATTGAACTCTATGTTTTTTTTGCTTATTTAGGTTGGCATGTATATATTTTCTTCACTACCTATTGTAGTATATTAGTGACGGTATGTCAATATTCCGTGATAATGGTATGTGAGGGTGTTTGAATAAAAGTCAGTGTTTAACCAACTTGCGTGCGTTTCATTACACCTACCTTAATATTAAATTATGATTTTAAATATTTGTACGCCAAAACGGCATAACATGTAGCTCATACGCCTAACTTAACACCATTGCATGTACTCTTGTAATATTACCCATGTTAACGCAGATAAAAAATATCTGTATCTTTATCTACCTATATAAAATGTAAAAATTACTTGCATCCATTTCTTTTTCTCACAGAAGAATATTATTATGATTAAAGGCGTATGATTTTTTTTTTGGTGGTCATTATCAGTACCTACAGATATGTGTAAGTAAGCATCGTGTCCTCTGCTCCACCACGCATCAGTTCCGGAACCCGCTCTGTGCATAGCCTGTCATGGTTGCACTAAGTTTTTTTACTGTTTGTAACATTTTATTTCTCACTACCTTGACGTTTTCTTTTTTAATCGACTTCAAAAAAAGGAGGAGGCACTGACTTCTAACCTATCAGTGTGTGTGTAAGCTATAAGTAGGTATGACCAATAATAGTTATATTTTCCTTTTCAGTTTTTACTTTTCGTTTGTCTTTAGTTTTTGAAGTCGGATGCTGACAGTTTGAGTATTTTGCGACCAACCCAAATGTTCTTTAGGTTAGTATTGTTCGTCGGATCAGTCAGCGTCACCTGTTAATTGAGGTGATTGTAAACCGATACATGCGTACTGTCTTCAGAACGTGTCTGCTCAAACTGTTGTGGTATTTTCCTCAAAAGGCTACTACAGAACGAACTTGCACGGTTCTCACACATAATCTTATATCTGGACTTTAAAAGAGACGGACCTCTGAGTTTGTTTCGGCATTTCTTCTCAGATTAGTCAATTAGGAAATGTTGACCTCATTGTTCGGTTGACAAAATCGACATGTAAAAGTGTTGCCTTGTACCCTATTTGCTGAAATAAATTTACTTGTTTTACTATCATTGGAATATTGCATCAACTGATGTTGGAAGACGTAGGTAGGAAGACGTTCTTTTTTAAATAACGTTGCCCCACATTAGAATTTTCTCCTGTGTCGTGAGTGCGTTTACAAACATACAAGTTCACGTACACATGACACCCAGACCTGGAATAACAACCTGTGGATCACACAAAGAGTTGTTCCGTGCGGGAATTGAACCTGCGGCACGTTGCACGGCAGCCAGACCAACCATCGCGCCAACCGTGAGTTAATACGGGTCGTTAATGCCTGAAGTAAAGGAATAATGATCTGGAAGTCGTTGGGAAAGACCTATGATTAGCTTTCAAAGTTTTTTAGCTGATTAAATATGAGGATGATGTACATACCTACTAAAAGTGTTCCTATTTTTCAGCAACTGATACGTTAACCCTTTTTTAATTTATTGTGCAAATTCAAAAATCCAATATGTAGTCATTCTCGACTACAAGTGAAGATCTCGTGTATTCTTCTGTTGTCTGAGTCACATGAATCTTATTCTAATTTCTAAGGGTAGTTTATAATCTTCATCATTATCATCAGATGATGAACTCTCTTTCTATCTTGATGGTGTGACGATATCTTAGGACTCATAAAAAGACAAATTCTTGTTTGAGATTTCAAGAAAGATATAATATTGAATAGAAATAGAGGCATATTAAGAAATTTATTGATTAAAATTTGTTTTATAAACATAACAGAATTATGGATTTAACAGCAGCTACAAACATGTTGTCATTTATGTTTTAGTTTGTTTTTTTTTTTGTATCAACATAATACTTGACGAGGAGTTTCGATGTAGTAGACGTGCATGGTGAGCACACCATTTGCTTCCACGGTGTCATACAAGCACTTAGGGCCTGAGGTCACGATGCTCTGCAAAAATATCAGTGAAATTATAGATTATTATTGTAAGTATGTAAAAATATCTAGTGACTTCTCTAGCCTTGGTTTAGTAAATAAATTCTAAGGTATGAAATGTATAATATCCCTACATTCTTAACAGTAATGTAAGGAGATATATAGACTTATTGTTTCGACCTGAATAGATTTTTTTGATAAAAAAGCTGAAAAACTGGCAGCAGCGGGCTCTGTTATCGAACGTGATCCTATTAAATTGTGATCACCAACTTGCTTGCCAAGCGAGGAGACTTTGACAAACCCCACTTGTCTTGAGCTGTCCCATACTGCAGTATTGATGACGATGATTTATAAAAATGAAGATAAGATATAAACTTTTGTTGTACTGTACCTGAACCGCACTTTTGTTCGGATGTTCAAAGTGGTCGAAGCTTTTGCTGGGCAATGTGTATTTACCAGGCAACATGAAGCCCATGCCGATAAGCGAATTGTCTTCGTACAAGGGGAACCATGTCAAAATGGTGGAGGCACCGCATTCAAGGGAAGAGCTCATGTCATAGTAATAGTGGAGACCTGGAACGTAATATAATATAAGTATAAGTAACTAACTCCAATCCTACGGCAACTTTTCCAAAGTTGAGACAGAAAGAACGGATCGAAGTAATTTCAGTTTATAGATTGAGCTTAACGTAGACTTACCCATCCAGATGATACAGGCTTGTTTAGTGAAGATGCTGTCCAGATTACTGAGAGACGTGGCAATCTTCACCAACTCACCATGGAAACCTTCTACCGCGACGTAGTCATTCCTGATCAGTGCCTTATCAGGGTTTGCGTAAGCGATACGGGTGGCAGCATCTAATAATAATAAATTACTTTGATTAACAAACGAGCCAGTTTATTGATATGCATATTAATCAATAAATGCAGACATATTTTGAAGTATACAGGTCTTTATTATGAATGAATTACCAGCAGACACGAAGTATTGAGCCTTGGTGTAGTACTCAATGGTCTCTCCGTTAACTTCAGGTGACCATATATGGAAACCGAGTGTGTCCATATCGTAAGTTGGTTGGAATCGGTCATATTCCACCTGAAATGGAATGATATTTTATAAAGCGAGGAATAAGTAAGAGATGGACTTCACAACCGCAAAGTCGTAAGGCATGCTTAGCAAAGATTTTTATCAAAGGATGGAGAAATCAAGAACCCAAACGTGAACGTACCGAGATCTGCACACCAGCAGTGTTACCAGTTTCGTCAGTAAGAATACAAAACACGTAGTCGTCTGCAGGGCACCACAGCTGCAGGGCTTCATATCCTTCAGCACTGTAGGGTCTCTCCACATTCACCCAATTTTTACTAGCAGCAGAGGTATTAGTGCGTGGGCTGTTTATGAAGTTTTTGGTGCCAAATTCGAAAGGATTCAAATCGAACCTATCTGGAAAATAAATTGTGAATTAGTAATTACATTTTTGACACCGTAAGTTGAACATTTTTTTCCTTCTCTTTTTACTTTCTGTGTTTTCTTATATATATGAAATATTAATTTACTTTTAAGTTGCAAGTATTTAACCTTTGTAGATATAGATATAAAACGGAATGTCAATATTTAATAAAATCAATTCTATATATTTTGTTTTATTGATTTTCGACAATCAGGCTTTTTTTAAATGCTACTCCGACATGAATTTACTTCTTTCAAAAACCATTACAATTTGTGGATGATCATCCTAATAAATTGCCGCAGTTTAATAGGCCACAGCTAACCGGCCAGCTACCTCCTGATCTTTCTGCAATGGTGCAAGTGCAACAAACTAAACTACCACGACTAAGGCCATGATTGCATGGCCTAGTTAATTGGCATTGGTCAAAGAACTGTACTTTTACCGTAACGTATTTTTTTAGCTATTCAGAAGTTTTGCAGCATTTGAATACTGTTTATAATCTTGATGTTGGCTGTAAACATAACCGATGTAGTATTTAGGTATATCTGTGCGTGGTTGAGATAGGTACTTACATCTGAAGCCAACAGATCGGGTCGCATCTGAAACAAATGGAGGAATTGGATATTATCTCTCAACATTCAATAAAATGGTGGCTGTGATTTAACTTGTGAAGGAAAAAGTATGATTTCGTAGTCTGAAATGAGTTCAAAGGTACAAAACTAGTTGAATAATAATAGATTTCAATTAGAAATTGTTTGTCTAGATTTCCTCACGGTGTTTTCTTTCACCGTTTGTTAGTGATGTTTCAATTAGACAGTACATATAACTCGGAAAAAGTCACATTGGTACTATGCCGTTGGCAAGTTTCTAACCTGCGTCCTCGTGCATGAGAAGCGGGCGTCTTAAACCCTCGGGCCATCACGATATGGGTTCCACTAGATCTTATAGCGTTTTATAGGAACACTAGTAATAAATAGCAAATAAGGTATTTTCTTTAAGGTTATTTTCTTTTTTGATCACTTTGACTGGATTATAGTGTTACATTGTTCTCGCACAATCCAAACAGCAAAACTATGTAACTAGTAAATTGTATTGTGAACCTGATTGAAAAAGAGTAACCTATGGAGTTTCTTGCTCTTTCTTCTCCATAGGAATCCACACCTTGGAATGAGCAAATAGCTTCACTTTTAATTATTGTTTTTGTTGACGTTCAAAAGTGCCATTCTGGCCTAATTGAAATAAATGATTTTGACTTTGACTTTGAAATTACAAGTGGACAATTTAAAATATTCTGTAAACATGGAGTAATAGTAGAAGTGCCAACTAATTGGAAAATAGAAATAAGTAGTATTGTTAAAAAACCAATTGATAGAACGTGAAGAAAGAAAGAAGTACTCACCAATGAAGGCAGGTGCCAGAAGGCAAAGAAGAGCAACTGTCCGGATCATGGCTGTAGCTGTGGTACCAACGACTGCGACACTACTGGTGGATGAACAGAGATGTCCACTGACCCTATATATAGGTGCCGACTAACTGAAACTAAACACCATGCCATTTATTTTCATTTTCATATTTGCAAAACGGCCAAGGTTGATTAAACATTTAATTTTATTATTGTGTGAATACTTATTCATATTGAAATATTTAGGAGACTCATTGATATACTAATGAAGCGTGATAAAAATTATAATACGTACTGAGAAACAGATTTTCCGGTAAAGGTTGTATGTAGATGTCTATACATCTATTCTATATTCTATACATGTAATAACCCCTGTTTGGGCGCCTAACCTGTTGCGGCGTCCCGCTCGGACGCTGCTCATGGCACAGAGGGTCATGGCGATCCGAATGATCCGCGGATACCGCACGATCTCTGGGGAGTCGGCGAACCTCCTTGCCGGATTACCGCCGTGGGATCTGGAGGCGAAGGTGCTCGCGCGCGTGCACAGCATGCGCGCGGAGGCACGTCGCCGGGGCGAAACTCCGCTGCCGCGCCAGATAAGTGCGTGGCGGGATGAGCTCCGGCGCGATCTCATGGCGGAATGGCAGCAACGACTGTCGCAACCGAGGACTGGGCTCGCTGCCATCGCAGCGGTAAGTCCCCTCTTTGAGGAGTGGCTTGAGAGACGCTACGGCGTCCTCACCTACCGCCTGACGCAGGTCCTCACCGGACATGGCAGTTTCGGGAGGTACCTGTGTCTGATGGGGCGGGAGGAAACGCCCGGGTGTCATCACTGCGAGGACCGCCCTGAGGACACGGTGGAACACACGGTGGGAGAATGCCCTTCGTGGGCTGAGCACCGCCGTGTCCTCAGGGAAGTGATCGGCGATGGCGACCTCTCGCGTCCGGGCCTAGTGCAGGCCATGATGCGGAGCGAGGGGGATTGGGATGCCGTCTCCTCCTTTTGCGAAGCAGTCATGCTAGCTAAGGAGGAGGCGGGACGCGTGAGGCAGCGAAGCGCTGCCTCCTCGCAACCCAGCCATCGCGAAGGACACACCGGGCGTCGGGGATCGCGGGACGATCTTCGGCCACCGTAAGCGCGGGCCTGCGGACGGCGAGCATGGGTGGCTCCCCGTCCGACCAGAAACAGACCCGAGCGTACGGCGCGTCGCGTTCCGCGCGCGCCTCAAAGAGCCATCAGACCACCACAGATGGGGCCCAATAGGGCTGATGCCGATTCGGAGTCGCGGAGAACCTAACGGGTAACCGGGGCTCCGGCTCGACGTGCAGGAGAAGGAACGGGGTGGTTTTTAGTCAGTAAGAGTCTGACACTCCCTCCCGCCTCACCCAGGCGGGGGCAGTCATTCGATGATTTTCCCCCCGTAAAAAAAAAAAAAAAAAAAAAAAAAAAAATACATGTAATAAAATCGTAGGAAAGTGAAAACTGTATATTGAATATATTTTTAAAAGAATGCTTTGGTCGTGATCTATAATCGATATCGAATCCAAAAATATGGTTTACAAAATTTTTGTCTGTTTGTCTGTATGTATGTCCAGGCTATACTCAAAAAGTACTGCATGGGTTTACTTCAAATTTTGCATGAATATTACTAACAAGTCGCGTCAACATATGGGCTACATACTATGTATTATTATCACGCTATCACCCACGGGGGTGGACCTGTGAAACACTATTCCATGCGGTCAAAGTCGCGGGCACAGCTAGTGAACCATACAACACATTACTTAACTAGCTTCTGCCCGCGACTTCGTACGTGCAATCTCGTTTCCTCCCGTTCCCGTATGATTTTCAGGGCTTTTTCTGTCTTAAAAATATTCTCCTTATAATAACAAATACAACAAAAAAGAATTAGTGAAATCGGTTCACCCATTCACGCGTGATGCCGTGACCAAGGAAAAAGGGGATTAATTTATATATATATACATATATTATGGAGCAGTTGTTTTTATTCAATTAGTTTTTTGGAATTAGTTTAGTGTTAGTGTGTGTATAGTTTATCAAACCCAATTAGTGATACGATGCAAATGCCATTTAGCACTTGTCTATCAAGACGGTACAAAACTAAATTAAGTTTAACCGCCGTATCAGAGTCATTTAATGGCTACTTATTATTACTAACTCAGTCTTAAGCAATTATTTTCGGAACAATTCGTTACTAAGGAATAGTTTAAGTATTCATTTAATATGCCTGAGTATCGCAGTAAGGGATTCATGTAAATTCTGACACTCGTCGATGTCATTCCCATACATAGTATGTCCAGTAAATAGTGCACCATGCTATGAGGTAAGGATTATATCATTTCAATATCACCATTAAACAAGGTAATTTTTACGCTTGTTCGGTATACAAAACCGCCACATAGGTAATTTTTTTAAGACTTGATGAGAATCATAACAAACCTGGTGAATAGAGGATGTTATCTACGCCGAAGGTAACATAGGTGTTTCAAAGGCCTGGGCGACTAGACTAGGTTGCTCATGGGTAGGCGTGGTCCATTGTAGGCCACATCATCGCTTACCATAAATTAAGAGAGTCGCCAAACTTCGACACGTTTCAAATAGTTTAACAAAAATCATTTGGTGTTATGTTCCATGATGTATCTTCTTTATAGGGAAAAGGGCGGTAAAATAAAAATACATAAATTAATATTGGTATTGATTGAGCTCTTTATTTATTAACAAAATCTTTCATGTACATAAAATCATAATCAATTTTATGTAAACCGGACTCAATACCATAATTACAGCTTTTTCTACCAGTCAACCTAAGGGTTTAAATAGAAAAATCTATCAAAATTAGGGTACGGAGCTTTTATTATTTACATAATAATAATATATTGAGTTTTATTCATTACAAAAGAGAACATGGTTTCTCTACAGAGAACGTAATTAATTATTGGATTGTTGAAAGAATGAAAACAGTTTCTATTCAAACTGGAAGTTGTTTTACAGACAAAGTAGTTGACGAGGAGTTTCGATGAAGTATGAATGCAAGGTGATGACACTGCTGTTGCCTACGATGTCGTACAAGCACTGAGGACCAGAGTTCACGATCATCTGAAAATAATATCAATAGTTCAAGGTATTTAAGTTACACTTGTACACGTGACAAACCACACTTCACCCAGCGGCCAAACATCGGCCCATAAAATCTATACTGATATTATAGAGGTAAAGCTGAAGAGTTTGTTTTTTTGTTTGTTTGTTTGAACGCGCTAATCTCCGAAACTACAAGTCCAATTTGAAAAATTATTTCTGTGTTAGATAGCCCATTTATCGAGGAAGGCTATAGGCTATAATATATCACGCTACGATTAATAAGCGCCGAGCAGAGCGAGTGAAACCGCGCGGAAGTAGCTATTAAACAAAAACCCAGTGGTGAAGGTGGTAGTTGAGTAGAATACAATAGGAGAGGATACGATATAACATCAAAAAACATTTTTAATTAATTATAGCCTGACCAAAATTTGACCAGGCAACTCATTGTTTATAATTTTTGATGGACTAAATTACCTATCTAATAATATTTACCCCTTAAAAATATCGTTGAAGGTCGATGCTATGATGATCTTAGACCACAATTGGCACTCCTAATGTTCCGGCAGGTGTCGGAATTGAAATGTTGAAGCGATTAGATAATTAACAGGGAACTGAGCACGAGTTTTAGGAGAAATTTTGCCTCCTTGTGCATGTTCTACCGCTTGTATAATGGGTTGTGTTCTGCGGAATTGTTTGATATGATGCCTACCTACAGTCACATTCTATCATCGCACCGCTCGCCATCGACAGGGAGTTCACGCTCACACATTGGAGCCCAAACGGTCCCGTACACTTCGGTTTCAGAGGAATTTTCTCCCACGGACCCTCCGATTGTGGAATGAACTCCCTGCCGTGATTTTCCCAGTGGGCTACAACATAGGGGTCTTCAAGAGGGGAGTGAATAGGTTTCTTAAAGGTCGGCAAGACGCATGTAATGCCCCAAGTGTTGCAGGCGTACATAGGCCACGGTAACCGCTTACCATCAGGTGGGCCGTGTACTTTTTTGCCACCATCGTAGTATAAAAAAACCTGGCGGCAGCGAAGTTTGACAAGCATAGTCCTTTTAAATCGTGGTCACCAATCAACAAAGCGAGGAAACTGACAAACTCCCCAACTTTGACCCATCTTTTGTAGAGCAAGTACAGCAAAGGACTATTGAATTATGATGACGATGATGATGATGATTTATATAAGTGTGAAGACAATTATAATATATCTTGTACAGTACCTCAACATCACTTTTCTTCGGGTGTTCAAAGTGGTCCACTTCTCCTGAAGCTACTGTCAAAGTACCAGGAACCAGGAAACCCATACCAACAAGCGCATCATTCTCGTACAAGGGGAACCAAGTCAGAATGGTGGAGGCACTGCATTCAAGGGAACTGCTCATGTCGTAGTAGTAGTGGAGACCTGGAACAGACATGTGAACATTATTATGGATGACTTTGCAATATTTGTCGTCATTGTTCATTGACTCCAACACTAAGGAAATTGACTATTTAAAGAGTGATCAGGAACGCGTCTAAAATCAAGTATATATGATCCGGTATTTTTATGGAATAGGAGGCAAATGAGCTGACGGTTTACTTGATGGTAAGCGATCAGCGCCGCCCATGGACACCAGCAGCACCAGAGGAAACACAGGTGCGTTACCAGCCCTTTAAAAAGGAATATGCTCTTTTCTTGAAGGTTCGAAGCTCGTATGGGTTGGTCTTCAGTATCAAATAAGTACAGTGTAACGCCCAGGACCAAATAATTTTAAATATAGACTCACCCATCCAAGGGATGCAGGCTTGTTTAGTGAAGATGCTGTCTAGGTTGCTGAGAGACGCGGCAATCTTCACCAGCTCACCATTGAAACCTTCTACCGCGACGTAGTCATTCCTGATCAGTGCCTTATCAGGGTTTGCGTAAGCGATACGGGTGGCAGCATCTAATAACAATAAATTAATTTAATAATAACTATCGTGAGACATACTAAATGAACTAAAATCGCGGGTTACTCACGTGAATATACTGGGTAAAGCTCTACTAGTTTCGAACCACAGAGGGGTTTTTTCTTCATGAGCAGCGTGCGTCGCGGCGATGTCGCGCAGCTCACACAGTGAGCCCCTCTGGGGTTCGAAACTAGTAGAGCTTTTCTCAGTATATTAGTTAAATTATTTTAATTTACAAACGAGCCAGTTTATAGATATGCATATGAATGACTACATGGAGACGTAATGTGATTATATTAAAAAGAATGAATTACCAGCAGACACGAAGTATTGCGCCTTGGTGTAGTACTCGATGGTCTCTCCATCAACGTCGGCCGACCAGTTTTGGAAACCAAGTACCGCCATATCCAATGCAGGGGTGAATTTGTTAGATGGAATCTGCAATTGATAATAATTGGCCATTGTTACTAACGCAACATGTTTTTATGGTAAATAGAAAGTATGATAATCTGGTAGCGACATCTACACACGAAAATCATAGTTTTAACTATTCGACAGTTGACACCAACTTATGGCGTACTTAACAAAATGCAGTATCGTACATAATAACAATTAATATTATGTTTATCATATATCACACAGTTAAGTTTCTTCGGCACAGATTGGGTGCAATCTTTAATTTATCAGCTCCTTTATCAGCTCTCTATGCAACAGGTCTTGCTTGGGAACAGGATCCTCACTTTTTCCAAGTCAAGAAACGCCCTAAAATATAGAAGTTTTCTTGTTTTAAATAATTAGTTACTATAGTCTTCGCATTTACGTACCGAGATCTGCAAACCAGCAGTGTATCCAGTTTCGTCAGTAAGAATACAGATCACGTAGTCGTCTGCGGGGCACCACAGCTGCAGGGCTTCATATCCGTCAGGACTGTAGGGTCTCTCCACATTCACCCAGCCCTTGGCTAAGGCACTGGTGTTACTGCGTAGGCCGTCGATGAAATTTGAAGTTCCAAATCCAAATATGGAGAGTTCAAATTTATCTGAAAAAAATTGTAGGTATGTTTAAAGAAACCTACAAATTTATTCACATACATGTAACTTAGTACAAACGAGTCAAAGTCAAAGTCAAAATGATTTATTTCAATTAGACCAGAAAGACACCTTTGAACGTCAACAAAAAAAAAATTAAAAGTGAAGCTATTTGCTCATTTCAAGGTGTAGATTCCTATGGAGAAGAACGAGCAAGAAACTCTATAGGTTACACAGGTTCACAATACAATTGTCTCTCAATAACAAGAGCCTTTAGAAATCGTATTTGAAGTATATCACTTCTATGTATCTTTTCTGTGTATAATGAAGTCATAAGAAACACGTTGAATTCGACCAAAATATTTTTTAAATCTATTAATTATTATTTCTCGATTTTATTTATTTACTTATTTATTCCTTCTTCACAAAACATAACAGTGAATGGCGGACTTAATGCCTTAATGCCTATTAAATTTTTTTTTATTTATAGATACTAACTTCACTCTACCCTTTCTAAATTAAAACGAGTATAATACTGAAGCATTAAGCGGTTTTCTGCGTGATTGAGGTACTTACATCTGAAGCCAACCTGACGGGCTGCATCTGAAATAAATTGAGACATTGTTTAATATTACTTACTTAAACATTTAATAGGACGGTGGATAACTTAATATTGTCTTGTATTATTATACCTATTTTTTCCGAATGTCATGTCAAAGAGTGTTTCTTTCAAAATTTATATTGTTGTGCCCGACGATACACAATATGGACCCTCCACATTGTGTATCACCTAACTCATACATAAAAATTGTGTATTTTTTATTTTTTTTTTTAAGGGGGGAAAATCATCTAATGACTGCTCCCGCCTGGGTGAGGCGGAATGGATTGTCAGACTCTTACTGACTAAAAACCACCCCGTTCCTTCTACTGCACGTCGAGCCGGAGCCCCGGTTACCCGTTAGGTTAGGTTTCTCCGCGACTCCGAATCGGCATCGGCCCTATTGGGCCCCATCTGTGGTGGTCTAATGGCTCTTTGAGGCGCGCGCGGAACGCGACGCGCCTTACGCTCGGGTCTGTTTCTGGTCAGACGGGGAGCCACCCATGCTCGCCGTCCGCAGGCCCGCGCTTACGGTGGCCGGAGATCGTCCCGCGATCCCCGACGCCTGGTGTGTCCTTCGCGATGGCTGGGTTGCGAGGAGGCAGCGCTTCGCTGCCTCCTCCCGCCCGCGTCCCGCCTCCTCCTTAGCTAGCATGACTGCTTCGCAAAAGGAGGAGACGGCATCCCAGTCCCCATGGCTACGCATCATGGTCTACACGAGGCCCGGACGCGAGAGGTCGCCATCGCCGATCACTTCCCTGAGGGCACGGTGGTGCTCAGCCCACGCAGGGCATTCCGCTACAGTGTGTTCCACCGTGTCCTCAGGGCGGTCCTCGCAGTGATGACACCCGGGTGTTTCCTCCCGCCCCATCAGACACAGGTACCTCCCGAAACTTCCATGTCCGGTGGGGACCTGCGTCAGCGGTAGGTGAGGATGCCGTAGCGTCTCTCAAGCCACTCCTCAAAGAGGGGACTTACAGCTGTAAAGGCAGCGAGCCCAAAAAAAAAAAAATTAGTATTGAGTACTGAAACTTAAACTTATTGATATTGTTTAAGGAAATCACAAGGCATGATGATCATCTGTGATAAGGTATAATGGGAAGAAGCAGGGTTGGGTCTAATTTAAAAAAGTAATTAGCAAGAGATCTTAGTAGAGCGTAAAAGTATGACTGTACTGATGTCCACAATTGAGTACAATTCAATTATATCAATGGAGAGACGTCGTGAGCGAAAAACTGGCTTCCCATGGATGAGATCACGATCCTCGGTAATGAGGAAAACGACGCGAAGAGTCAAGACTGTAAATTAATAGTATCCATAAAGGTGGATCTGCGCTTGGAAAGAAATGGATACTCACCAAGGAAGACTGGTGCCATGAGGCAAAGAAGGGCTAGTTTCCTGATCATGGTTGCAGCTTTGGTTTCAACGACTGATCTACGAGATGAGATCTCCATCGACCGTTTATATAGCCGACGGTGCACTAAAAAACGTTATGCATTTAGTTTTCAATTTTCATGTTTGCACTTTGAGCAAGGTTAGTCAAATATTCACTGTACCTGCTCTTAATTTATATTTTAGGGGTCAGCCGATGAAATTACATATTTATTTCTGTGAATTGCACTTAGATGTTACTGATAAACACACTGATACATAACTAAAAACCACCCTGTTCTTCTCCTCTCCTACTCCTGCTCTTCGAGCCGGAGACCCGGCAACCCGTATACTTATATACTTCCGCGGCTCCGTATCGGGTATCAGCCCCACTATGCCCCGCCTCCTCCTTGGCAAGCATAACTGCTTCACAGAAGGTCGAGACGGCTTCCCAATCCCCCTCGCTCCAAACCATGGCCTGAACCAGAGCCAGACGCGAGTGGTTGCCGTCGCCAACTACATCCCTAAGAAGACGACGGTGCTCAGCTCACGCAGGGCACACCGCCACCGTATGCTCCACCGTGTCCTCCGGGTGGTCCTTGCAATGAAGACACCCGGGCGTTTCCTCCGGCCAAATCTCAAACAGGAACCAACCGAAACTCCTGTGTCCGGTAAGCACCTGCGTCAGGCGGTAGGTGAGGACGCCGTAGCGTCTTTCAAGCCACTCCTCAAAGAGGGGACTTACCGCTGCAATAATGTACCTAATTCTTTTTGAAGGTGTTCTTTTATGTAGACGTAACACTTAAGTCATTGTAATTTAAAAACTATATGGTCTAAGATTTTTTTTATCATATAACTGTTGGAACCTTGCCGACCTGGTGCAATTTGATCAACGATTTCAGGAACTACCTGGATGTAGGTATGTAGTTCCATATTTTAGGGACACTCTGGATGTATGTAGTTCCATATCCCATATACGGATTTTGAGATACTAACATAACAACTATATCTTGTAAGCAGTGGCGGCTGGTGGGTTATCGAACTGGTGCCGCACTTTACTAAAATATTAAAATTAGAAAATGGAACAATGCAAAAATTAACATAAATATGTTTATTTTTTATACATTAAATTAATGCGACGACATATTTCTGAACCTTATTATTAAAATCGGGTATTGTTTGTATGAATTTGAAATTAGCGCGTTACATTGTATACAGTGAAACTATACTGATAGGTGCTGATCCTCGCGCGGCCATGCCGGCCGGCCAATTCGTCAAACATCGGATGCTCTCGGCAATCCTCGGTTCGCTCGTGCGGCGGTTGACAACCGACTCATTACTCGGTACATTTCTATAAACTAGGTACCTTGTGTTTCGTCATCAGGCGTATTAACTCGTATCTACTACAAGTTATATTAGCAGTCCTCGTGCACTCGCCGAAGCCCACGAGAATTTGTCTTTATAGGAAAATAAGTCTTAATAGTTTAGTAAAGCGCTTAAACTGTTTCACCAAAATTGGAGATTTAATTTTTTGTACGTTTTTGTATGTTTAAAAAAATATTAAAATGGTAGTATAAAAAATAAATATGAAGTAGGTACTAAATATTTAAACATACGGTCCTTAAACATACGGACGAATTTATAACCTCCTCCTTTTTGGGAAGTCGGTTAAAATATTGTTTCAAGTTTCAGAACGGCAATTTCAGAGGTAACAGTATATACCTATTAATATTGCATGATCGTCAAGATTACTAGTGTGTACCAAATATCAGATTGCATCTGTCGTCAGAATAAGGGTTAAATTCCAATTTCTAAAGGCCCAAACAAACAAACAGATCGGACATGCTAAATCTTTCTTTTTTTTTTTCTTCTTTGGCAACTGAGTCTCCAAAACGGCGTTGTCGACTATATATAAAGAAAATCATTTACAACTATTCCCAAAAATAAATGACAGAAAAAAAGCTGTGGTAGTTGACAACAAAACACGTGATAGGTATTTTATCAGCAGACACAATATTTCATATTTAATTAAGTTAAATGAAATTCAACTAACAAATTAAAACCACATGAGATAATATTAGCTTAGTAAGTAGTTTTACATTTTTGCAACTCTCAAAATATTCGTTTTTCGAAAATATTTAAACCAATAACACTTGTGTCAATACTTATATGTACAAAAGATGATCATACATTATACTATCACTTGTTTCTGCCAAAACGTGTGCAAAATGAACGCTCTTTTTTTTCACAGCACACTGAACGCGACTGCGGAAGTGTGGAGAACTGCCTGGTTTTTTTTTTATTTTTAAGGGGGGAAAATCATCGAATGACTGCTGATCTCGAATCGAAGCACACTGAACGCGGCTGCGGAAGTGTGGAGAACTGCCAGGGTTACCGGGGCTCCGGCTCAAAGCAGGTGTTGGAACGGAGTGGGTTTTAATCAGTCTTGTTTAAATATTAATTTTGTAATAATCTGTAATTTTTCGGTATAGTATGAGGTGTTTTTTTTAAGGGGGAAAATCTACGAATGACTGCTCCCGCCTGGATGCTGCGGGAGGGAGTGTCAGACTCTTACTGACTAAAAACCACCCCGTTCCTTCTCCTGCACGTCGAGCCGGAGCCCCGGTAACCCGTTAGGTTCTCCGCGACACAGTATGAGGCAGTGCATTATTCGCTGATTTCATGCCGTCCGATTAAAGTCATTTTTCCGAAGCAGTTTCAAAGAATGATAGTTAGTTCTGGGCGGTCGGCGGCCATTTAGGATTTAACTTTTACTGTGGGTGTTACACTGTATTCCATTCAGGAAAAAATATTTGAACGTCAATATAACCTACTTGCATAGGCTATAAAACATCACGCTGCGATCAATAGGAGCCGAGCAAAGCGGGTAAAACTGCGTGGAAGTAGCTCGTAATTCATATATTGTTGTTTGACCGACAAACAAACGGAAGAGAAGCTATCGCCCTCTATTATTGTATGGTATTTTGGCTGGACAAGATATCAACCCGGAGAGATTCAATTACTAGCATCAGAATAAAGTGTAATTTGAAGGAGGAGTAGGAGGAACTAGACTTCACATGTCGTGCTCGAAAATCATAGTTAATTCCTTTTTAAAACATCTTGTCTCAAATCATACCTGCTTGTGCTTTACCAATAATACATTTATGTAACTAGCTACCTCCGCGCGGTTTCACACGGTCGGAGGTCTTTTTTTTAAGGGGGAAAATCATCGAATGACTGACATCTAATAGCACCTGAGTAAATATTTATAACAAAAGATGATCATACATTATAGTATTACTTGTTTCTGCTAAAACGTGTGCAAAATGAATGCTCTTTTTTAACAGCACACTGAACGCGGCTGTTACAGTGTGGAGAACTTCATGTAACTTAATGAAACTTAATTTGTTTTTTGATCGTCATCTTTTATTTTAATTTTGCTTTCATTAATTCATATTTTTTCTTAAAGAATGCTGTGCTCGCCTGTAATCGATTGTAACAACGGTTATCTGATGAAAATGTTTGTTGTTTCATATACCTACAAATGTACCTCTACAATACACAACAATTGTTGGTGCAATAAAGATAAAAAAAAGAAACTGCCAGGGTTACCGGGTTCCAGCTCAAAGCAGGTGGAACGGAGTGGATTTCAGTCAGTCTTGATTAAATATTAATTTTGTAATAATCTGTCAATCTGTCCCTTTTCGGTATAGTATGAGGTGTATGACGCAGTGCTGGGTTTCTGAAAATTCTGATCTATTATTCCCTGATGTCGTGCTGTCAGATAAATTATAGTCATTCCTCTCAAGCAGTTTCGAATTCGATTCCGAAGTCTGACAAAGTATTATATCATCATCATCATCATATCAGCCACAAGAAGTCCACGGCTGAACATAGGCCTCCCTTAATATTATATGGCTTTTCGGAAATTCTCTGTTCTCAGTATCTGGAAACGGACTGTGTTTGTTTGTTTATATCCTATGTATGCCAGTACCCTTACTACCTAGGGGGCCCATACCTAGGTGTTGCGGATATCCATGGGCGGCGTCGATTGTTTACCCTTAGGTGATGCACCTGATCATTTGCCATCCAGAACCTAACGGGTTACCGGGGTTTCGGCTCAAAGTGCAGGAGTAGGAACGGGGTGGTTTTTAGTCAGTAAGAGCCTCACCCAGGCGGGAGTAGCAATTCAAAGATTTTCCCCCTTAAAAAAATCCTAACCAACCTAACATCTAAAACTCCGGTAATTCATTTGTATCGTTTCTGGTGGTCCTTTGGCGGCGCTGATTACGTACCATCAGGAGATCCTTCTGCTCGTTTGCCGTTCTATTCCATAAAAAATCACTATCAAGCAAGTTTAGGATCTCGATTTCAGTTTTCGTATTGAGTACCTAGTAGTTATTATCAAATTTTTGAATATAACTAGAATTTTTATATTCAAGTAGTCAAAAAATCGGTGTTAATCATTATGTTATGGAATTTCTGGAAGAAATGTTTTATTAGTCTCTCTCTCTCTGCCTCTCTCTCTCTCTCTCTCTCTCTCTCTCTCTCTCTCTCTATTTGCGAGTACTACACATAACTTGGAATTGAATTTTATTATTCGAATAATTAAATTGCTAAATTGCTGATACATTATATTCTGAAAAAATATTTATTAACATCTGTTCCTATAGAGATAATAAAATAAAAATAAAATAATTTATTTCATCGACTATTATGTACATACCTACATACCAACAAAATATTAGGAAAAGAACCTTTTAAGCAAGAGTACCTATGCTTGTCGTAGGCGATCCTTCTATACCAAGGATATTAACTAAACATAAGTTTAAAAAAATAAATAAAAAGAAAATAAAGAGATGTAGAGAGAGTATTTTTAAGGCTCAGAAACGGTGGATACGAGCAATATTTGGTTTAAAAGTTACTTATAACTGTGTTCCAATTTTCAAAAGTAATTTTTTTGATATTCCCGTGCCTTTAAATTTTAGTTTTTTTTTAAATATGTGTCGTTATTAGTTTGAATAATAAATGTTTTTTCTTTCTAGTTGCAATGCTGGTCTTTCTCTAGTACTTTTTCATAAAACCTATACATATAGTGCACTAGTCTAGTACCTACACTTTGGTTGTAACTTTAAAACAACGCCATCTGGGCGTGTAGTGTTGAATTTATTAAAGACACGTTTACCTTTAGTATGAGATGTCACTTGATTAAATAATTGTGTTCTTTCTGGCGGTTTCTGCGATTTTTTAATAGGTGGAGTTATAATCGTCACTTTGCAATGACATTACAGGATTATAACCGTTTTCACCAACAATCTGTCTCGTTAGCCGAGTGGTTGCAGGTACGACTGCCGGGCAAGCGGTCTTTGGTTTCATTCCAGGGTCGGACAAAGTATTACTGGGTGTTTTTAAAAAGAATTCTCAGTAGTAGCACGGAATCTAGTATTGTGCCCGGTATATGGTAATAGGCTCACCCCCTATTACATGGGACTCATAACATAAATAGTGAAAAGTGGGTGTTACCTATATTATGGCACATTTAACATTGTGTCTGAAACAACACTTGCGTTGTGTTTCATCATGTGAGGAAGGTTGCCGAAGGCTCTCCTTCCCCAGTCACCTCAATCCCCCAATCCTCTACAATCCTCAAATACCTAATTCCCAAAAGGCCGGTAACGCACTTGTAACGCCTCTGGTCTTCCAGATTTCCATAGGCGGCGCCGATTGCTTACCATCAGGTGATCCGTCTGTTCTTTCAACTCCTAAACAATCTCTTAACCAAGAGTTACTTAGCTTGAAGGAGAACTTAAACAAACCCATTATTTGTACTCTTAAAAGTCTCTTTTCTTATAGGTTGGTGACAACCCATGTGTTGTTAAGGGTCACCTATCTCAGCTTAGTCGGAGTTCCTTAAAATTTAGGAGACATTGGCGAAAACGAGCATCATTGCTCTCCTGTAGGTGCTCAGTGCTGATGAGGGCCACAGAGGTAGTTTTAGATCTACCATCTATACAATTATAATAAAATCGTAGGAAAGTGAAAACTGTACATCGAATATTTTTATAAAAGAATGCTTTGGGCGTGATCTACAGTCGATATAGAGTTTTTACAATATAGGTGTATTGTACAAATTCAAACACAATGTAATAATTGTCAATGAATAAATGAATTGAAAAAAAAATGAATTGAATCGATACCGAAACCAAAAATATGTTTTTTTGTCTGTTTGTCTCTATGTATGTCCGGGATGGATTTAAAAAGTGCTGCATGTATTTACTTCAAGTTTTGTATGAATATAACTAACAGGTCGGGTCAACATATAGGCTACATATTATTATGCTATCAACTACGGCGGAGGAGCTGTGAATCACTATTCCACGCGGTCGAGGTCGTGGGTTCAGCTAATTCCTAATATTTCTTACCTTATACTATTACTAAGGAAATCCAATATTCACTTATAATCTATACATCTATACTTACAGATTAAAATTGGGGTGTCTGTTTGTAATATTGAAATAACCACTTTTTACTGCATGCATATGAATATACATACGATACATATACCAAAACAACATCTTTAAAATTTTTGTCTGTCCGTCTAATTGTACAGGCTAATCTCTTGAAATGGCTGCGTCGATTTTGACGAGACTTTTACTGGCAGGTTACCGATGTACTGAGGAGTAACATATGCCGGAATACTGAAAAATTACTCAATTTTAAGTCGTGCTCAAATATCGTGCTATCTCTGTCATTTTACAAATAATTGGTGGTGACAGAACTATACTTAAGCACGATTAAAAATTGAGTAGCGTTTCAGTATTCCGACAAAAGGCTTTCATTTTGTAAAATAGAAACAAAAAGATGTTATGTTTTAAAATTTATATTCCAAGGGGAAGTCTCGTGCAACTCCTAGTATTTTATAGCTGAAGTTTGTTTTAATGCGCTAATCTGTGGAACTAAGAGATCGCATTTGAAAATCATGGACACACGAACGGGACTGACAGCGGAGACTAAGCGTGGATTTTTCAAACGCCAGATAAATTTTAACTGAGGAATAATTTTGAATATTTGACAATTCTTCCATACTAAAAATTGTCAAATGTCAATTTTATTCTACAGTTAAGAATTAACTGATGATTGAAAAATCGGCCCTTAGTGTGATAGGATTTCCGGCCACCGTAACCGCGGGCCTGCGGACGGCGAGCATGGGTGGCTCCCCGTCCGACCAGAAACAGACCCGAGCGTACGGCGTGTCGCGTTCCGCGCGCGCCTCAATGAGCCATCAGACCATCACGGAGGGGGCCCAATAGGGCTGATGCCGATTCAGAGCCACGGAGGACCTAACTGGCTACCGGGGCTCCAGGTCGAAGTGCAGGAGTAGGAACGGGGTGGTTTTAATCTCTAAGAGTCTGACACTCCCTCCTGGCTCACCCAGCGGGAGAAGTCATTTGATGACTTCCCCCCTTAAAAAAAAAGGGTGATAGGATTCATGTTCATTTCTGTATTACTCTTTCGCTTTAGGCCTTTAATGTGTAGGTGGCTCGAAGGTTCAAGATACATGCAATGCAGGCTTCACATGCATGAGATAGGATTCTTAGAAAGCAGAATTGGACGTAAGCTCTTACTATGCAGCTATGTCAAAAGTCTAATATAACTGTATATATAAAGAAAAAACTCTAATATAACTGTATCTACAAAGTAAACAACTAATGAAATCCAGCTAACCCTTCGATGAAACAAATGGAGTGTTCTAATTTTGAGTACAAGAAAAAGAAACAATTTCTAATGGCAAATATATACTTATATCGTTTAATTCGTTTATATTTATTATGCAGTACATAAAATTCTTCATTGTTCAATTCTTCAACAATAAGTCACCTTACTGTCATAGGTTTTTATTCCAAGACACAGGAGACCAGCTCATAGTTGGAATTGAGGATCAGGGTCATAGCTACGGCTCCTGTAGCTTTGGCAGCGTCATATAAGCACTTAGGGGCTTTAGGCACGTCAGACTGAAAGGAAAGCATATCGTAATAAATGTCAAAAGTTAATATGAAAATATTTTTATAGGTAAATACAATTGGGAAGCACTTGATGGTAAGCGATCAGCTTCGACTGTAGATTGGCAACACCACAGGATTTGTATTAAGTGCGTTGTTAGCCTTTGTAAGTCTGTAACGTCACTCATACGGCGATGCAACGTAAGCGGCGTAATGAGGAGGCGGGTCGCGTGAGGCAGCGAAGCGCTGCCTCCTCGCAACCCAGCCATCGCGAAGGACACACCGGGCGTCGGGGATCGCGGGACGATCTCCGGCCACCGTAAGCGCGGGCCTGCGGACGGCGAGCATGGGTGGCTCTCCGTCCGACCAGAAACAGACCCGAGCGTACGGCGCGTCGCGTTCCGCGCGCGCCTCAAAGAGCCATCAGACCACCACAGATGGGGCCCAATAGGGCCGATGCCGATTCGGAGTCGCGGAGAACCTAACGGGTAACCGGGGCTCCGGCTCGACGTGCAGGAGAAGGAACGGGGTGGTTTTTAGTCAGTAAGAGTCTGACACTCCCTTCCGCCTCACCCAGGCGGGAGCAGTCATTCGATGATTTTCCCCCCTTAAAAAAAAAAGCGGCGTTAGGGAACCAAAGATGCGTTGTTTACATACCTTGACGCTACGCTCTGGATAATACTCAAATTGGTCCTTATCACTCTTGTCTAACTTCAAAGTACCGAAGACCATGAATCTGAGGCAGACCAGCTGTCCGGAGTAGTAGCATGGTGCCCACGGGGAGATTGTGGTGCTACTGCATTCTAAATGGGTTGTCATATTGTAGCTGTACTGACGACCTGGAACAGATAGACATTATTATTAGCCATAATAGGGATGATGACAGGGTATGTAAATAAAAAATATAATTAGTCCGTCAGTTAGGTAATGAAAAAATATTAGATACGTATTTTTTATTTTGTTGTATAATAAAATGATAGTTAGATATAACGAATTAAAGTTGGGGCTAAAATGACATTTCTACGTATAAAATGTACACAAAGCACCGCTAATTAGTTTGCAGCGCTACACATCGACACTACTGTCATTTACACAGTGTACATGTGTGGGTAATTTCATATTACTGTGTATAAAAATATTCGTCAACCACGTTCACATTGGTATTTTCATTCTTGTGTCGGTATACGTATTTTTATAATTTAATGCATAGTTAAGGTTAAAACTATTTACAGTCATTGATATGACCCGACATTTTCACTATCATTATCGTAGTGCTCGTGGTCGATTGGTTAATGAGCACGCTTTTATCGTCTTTCAAGGATCAATGATGTGGGTTCTATTCCAGCTAAAAGTTTATTTTATTTTACCTTGTTATTTTTCTTATTATTTTTTTTTTGTTTTTTGTCATAAAATATAAATATCAGGCTATAAAAGAAGCAAATGAGTTGGTAAATAAAACAATACTAATTTTTATTACAATTAATTTAAAATATAAATAAAAGATATTATAGGTATAAATAAATCTAAAGTATTTACTATTAAAATTAACATAAGATTTAGAACAATAGGATAGGAAAAAAAGAAAAGATTTAATTGTTTCTATTTCTAATTACAAATTTCAAATATTTGATAAATTAAACTGTCAAACACCAAGCGGTCACCGGTGACCGCGACCTATTGTTCTTTAATTGTGTCTATAAAACCGGTACTCGACGAGTTAATACTAAATCAACATGTTGTGTGCATGTGAATTTGCTGGATTCGATCCGGCGGCACTTTACTTGACAATTGGAGGCGATAACCATTGCGCCAAGCGCGCTGTAGATGAGACCATCGAAATATTGTATATATCATTCAGTAACATAAAATTACAATGAGAAAGCACTATATTTATATGGGTACTGTATAGCTCGATCGTTCATTATTTTTGATTTCGATTTATTCAAAGTTTGTTATGAGTAATTTTATCTTTACCCTCGTTTTTATTTAAACTTATTTACTAAATTATTACGTATACCGACAAAAAATGATATTTAAATACCAAGATGTGTGTGATAGACGAATGTTTCTATACATATCTATTGATATGAAATTACCCACACATGTATATTGTGTAAATGATAGTTGTGTCGATGTGTAGCGCCGCTAACTAATTAGCGGTGCTTTGATAGAAGTGACGTCACGCGACATTTCAAATCAATACATCGTCGAAAGTATTCGTTTCCGTAAAAAATTAAAAATTCGTGTGTTATGTTTTAAAATAATCTACCAGACGAACATTAAAATAAAAATCAGTCATCTACCAGTCATCTACCCTATTTTAGGTCGTTAGTGATCATCGTCGCTTGACACATTGTTTTAAGTATCTAATGAAATCAGGTACTAAGAATATTCATCAAGCTCTTTTCCGGAACCATAAATATAAATAAATAACACTAATGCTGATACTATTACCGAGCATGTTTTATAAGATTCTGAAGATTAATTCAAAGTACTGTCGTTAGTCTTTATCAGTGACTCTTTATCATAAGTCATTCTCACGCTGTCACTGACAAAAATTGCCGTATATAATCCTGTAAATATAAATATATGTGGGACAGCTGGAATCCCAGGTTCTAAGAGAAAGAATGTAACCATGATCTGGTGCTCACCTAACCATCCGATGCAGGCCTGCTCGGTATAGACGCTGCTAAGCTTGTCAAGACTGGTGGACACGCTACCCTTGATACCATTGAAACTGTTGAAGTACACATTATCGTCACGCAGCACCTTATCAGCATCGTGAGAATTTATCCTGGTTTGACGATCTGCAAGAAAATATACGTTTATTAAACTGTCAAACACCAAGCGGTCACCGGTGACCGCGACCTATTGTTCTTTAATTGTGTCTATAAAACCGGTACTCGACGAGTTAAAATGATTTATTAGTAAATGTAATAGCAATTGGCGTGAAACTGCTAATAGTAGTGAGTAACGGTGAAATCTCATATCAGAGGTCTGTGCTCACTAAAGCTAAGGCTACTGAATCAACGAAGTATCTAAGTTTATCAAAATGATAGTAATTAGATGTATACGCTGCCAAAAGACGAACTATTACCATTTGAAATAAAAATGCTTAACGAAAGATTACTTTGTTTACATATAAGAAAAATAACATATCCAAGTTTTCGAAAGTGTGTTTATCATAATATTCTTTTTACCAGTTAAGTTCATGTTGTGTTCAAAAAATCTTACCAGATGACACGAAGTATGCAGAGAGGACCCAGAATCTCACTACCTTCGATTTGAAGGTGGTAGTCCAGATTGTGAAGCCTTGTTCCTTCATGTCATAGGTCGGAGTGAACTTGCTCTCTGGGAGCTGAAATTTGTCAATGAGTTCATTGTTCATTTTGTGAATGAGAAGCGTATAACATTGCGTCAATTGACGAATGTTTGCATTCGATAGCTCGTTTCGTTGCTTCGTTGACAGTTTTCATTGTTTCTGAGCAAGATGCAAGCATATGCCATTTGTAGCTCGCTTATTGTTTGTAAAGAAAGAAAGAAAAACATTTATTCGACACATTGTATGCACAGAGATGTAGACAAAAATGAGAAATAAAAAAATATAAACATAAAAACAAATTAAAACAAAAAATAAACATCACAAAATTAGCAAACATAGATGCATGCCCATGTCGAACGGGCCTCCACCTCAGCATTATGTTGAGCGTGGTAACACTCAACGCTGGTCTTCTGGTGGCACCCTGCAATACCCTAAAGGATTCTTAGTGCAGGGATGAGCTTTTAGGCATCTATGTATGTATAATGTATTGGTAAATATTCAGTAAACCTTCTATAGGTGGAGGATCGAACAGGAAACTTTCACGCGCAGCCATAATACCAGTCTATAATCTAAATAAAAATGTGTCCTTCTTTTAAATTCATGTTTCGTAAAGATGTTAAAGTGTCTTACAATGGTTGGATTTGAAGAGATGATATAAATAAGATAATAATAAGTACATGGAAACCTAATATAAACGCGCCTTTTATTTTGATTGAATTCAATGTTTCGCTTTTGATTTTCACGGACAAATACGATGACGACGATGATGCTAATGACGATGAAGTAACATAATCTGTAGGGAAATCTGTAGGGATCTGTACAAAGACTTAGGACATGGTATACTTGTCTGTCCGCAAGGTGGACAGATGACCTGATTAAGATCGCCAGGAGCCGCTGGATGCAGGTCACTTCCATCCGGCCTATCTGGAAGTCATTGGGGGAGGCCTATGTTCACCAGCGGACATTCTGTGGCTGATATGATGATGATGATGATGATGATACTTACAGCGATTTGTATTCCAGCAACGTAACCGGTTTCGTCAGTGTGGATACACACTGAAAAATCGTCGGTAGGACACCAGAGCTGCAGGGGACAGTAGCCAGATAGACGACGAGGTCTGTTCATTGACTGCCATCCTTTCTCTACAGCTGAGGTGTTAGTCCTCGGGAGGTCAATAAAGACTTTGGATCCCATACCAAATAGGTCAAATCCATATCTCACTGTGAAAGAAGGATCGAAATGAGTTGCAGTTTTTACAATTTTTTATTGGTTCAATTAATGTAGGTATAACATTGCGTACAGGTTGATACGTGTATGCAAACACATCTAAGATTATTTAGACCCCACTGACAAACGGTGAAGGAAAACATCGTGAGGAAATCTAAGCTTATAATTTTTAATCATAAGTTTGAAATTGCCAACCCGCATTCAGCAAGCGTGACGATGAATGCTCAAACCTTCTTCGTGTGAGAACAGGCATTTGGTCAGCAGTGGTCACTTATAGGTTGTTGATGATGCAGACACACAACACAACTAAAAGGGTGCAGTGTGTTAAAATTGAATTTCCCTTTAGTGAGATTTTCTTAAAATATTTAAGCTAATGTGATTTTAATATTGAAATTATTGTTATCTATCTATTCCTAGCTCATATGATTCCTAAAATTTGCAGAAAGGACAGTGTGTCGTATTATTTACTGGAAGACGTATAGGCATTGAAGTCAAAGAGGCATATGAGTATTTACAGATATAGGTTTATCACTTACTTTTGAGACCAGCTGGCCATGGTCCTGAAACAAAAACATTTTTGATAAGTATACGACATCAATCATAACTAGTTTTAATTAGTATCACCATATGTAAAATGTCTATTTCTAAACGTTTACAATGACTTAAATATATATTGAATCGTTTTTAAATGCTTTGCCCAGTTCTTCATGTTTAGGTAAACAACAACGCAGCTTTATATCACGTTTGATTGTGACATCGGTCCAGAATTCTCCGATGATGACGCAATGAAACAACTGGATGTGCATCTAAGATTTCTGGCTGGCCGATATCCCATTTAATGAAAAAATAATTTTCTGCATCGTTGCCTTTACATCTTCGCATGTCTTTTTTTAAAGGGACAAGCTCGCCTCAACGTCCCAAAACTGCTGCAACTCCTGTACGCCAGGATCTACAACACACAACCATGAACACACCGGAACATTGAAGTCCGGCGCGTCCCAGGGACATGAGTAACTGTCTTGGTTCCCGCAACGACGTTAATCAGAAGATATTATAAGAGGAGAAGAAAAAACGATAGTTTCCACTTCCCTCGGTGAATTACTGCAGGAGACAGAATGAATTACGCCTAAAGGCAAAAAAAGATACTGTACAACTGGGTGAAGCTTCTTCGCATGTCTGCTAAAAAACCCCAACGTCCCATTAGGGGTCAAAAAGAAGAAAATACATCACTCACCGAGCAAATAGCCGTGGGTGGAGACGGCAACAACGCAAAGAAGAAAGAGAATTCGGAACATGACTGTAGCTATTGCTAACTTTCTGCGGTCTGTCTGGTGAATGCACAAACCTTGTATTTATATGCATATTTACTTCATATATACTTACAAGTGTTCCAGAGTAAATAATGTGACGACATACGCCCAATATTGTAAGTACATATCAAAATATGGATGGATGATTTTCATTTTCCTCATCTGTAGCTGAAATGTTAAAGAAAGCTGTATTTTCACGCCGGATTATGTTTTTAGTTTTGCCTGACTGTAGAAAGGGTATTTGGTTTATGGTTTAGTGTTGATAAAATCAGTCTTGTTACTCTCTCAATCCACAGCCGGGCAATACGCACTACATGGTTTTTATTTAAGAACCAGAACGTCCGTAAGTGCAAGTAAAAATATGACAAAGAAATAAGCGACGCGAGGTATCGCGTCGCTTATTTCATGGTACCCCATGTGGCCGGTATTAAAAACCTCGTGGTGTCGTCGGAGGCAACAGCCAACATAACACTACACACATTTTTATCTAACTCTTTATTGATTGTATCAATTTGACAGAAATATAATAGAATCTATACAGATAAATGAAATTGGAGTATCTGTTTGTAATATTAAAAAACCGCTTTTTACTACAAGCACAAGATATATGCATACGATACCAAATATTTTTTTTTTAATTTTTGTCTGTCTGACTGTTTATTCTGGCGAATCTCTGAAATGGCTGTATCAATCAATATTGATCATGACTTGATTGATGATTGACGGAGCCACGGAGAACGTAAAAAGTTACCGAGGTTCCGGCTCGAAGTGCAGAAGAAGAAACGGGGTGGTTTTTAATCAGTAAGAGTCTGACACTAGGTGGGAGAAGTCATTCGATGATTTTTTCCCCCCTTAAAGAAAATAAGCCCTTTCGACGGGAGACTTTGAAATTTATGAATTCCAAATTATTTTATTGTTTCTTTTTTCATCAGGTCAAGTAATATTTTTCCATCTTTCAAAATTAAACCTTCTTAGATCTTTTAGAAGATTGAAAATGACCTAGGTCCAGCTGTCCAACCAGTGAACAATATTGAAAGCGCTGAATCACAAGCGCTGTATTTACTAAAAACTGCACCAGCCAGCAACAAAATTATAGTTAAAGGATAAAAACAGTAGAATAATATGTACCTAGACTATTTACAAATATTAATTAAAGTACACATTTACAACGTCACTTTAATGCACAAACTTCCTAGCTCTGCGTCGACGACATCAACCAATTGACCAAATATTTGCAAAATAATTATTGAAATTGTGTCTTTAAGGGTCACATTGGTCTGTAATTTGATCATGTTTTTTTGCTTATTTTTCTGTTTGATAACATTGAATTGTAGCACAATCTCATCTAAATCTTTGTTTTACATTCGTTGTACGTTTTTTTATAGAATAAGCCGGTGAACGAGCAGACGTATCACCCGATGGTACACCGGAGGCCTTTTGGGGATTAGGAATTTGAAGATTTTTGGGGATCCGGGAATTGGGGAGATTACGGATGGGGGTAATTGGGCCTTCAGTAACTTTTTTGTTCAAAGGCAGAGCAGCTTGAAATTGTATGTTCTAATTGACTACCTGGCGTCGTCAACTATTACATTAATTCCATAAGGGTGGACTTACTATATTGAAGGGACGTTCTCGAATTCCGTGTAATTATACACCCCGTTGTAAATGGTAGAATGAAATGGAGTTTTCAAAGTTTTCACATCTTCAGATCTGATATGTGTTACGGGGTATTTTTGTTGACTGCCTAGTTGATTTTTTATAATTTCAGGAATAGATTATGGTTTACTTTAGAATAATACAAAGGCTACTTTTTATCCCACGGAATCCCAAGGAAGCCGTGCGCAGAATCTAGTAATTAGATATTTTTCAATGCAATAAAGAAATTATTGCTATTAATAACAAAAGGGTAACTAAAACGCAGTCAATGATACAGCGACTTAGTGAATTCATTACCTACACAAATAAATTCATTTTGTTTACTGACTTTTCGACGACTTGTTACATTATTGGCTTAGGTGTCTTAATGTATATTGCGTAGTTCAATTTTTAGGTAGGAACATAACATCTGGTGCCTGGACATGACTTTGGTCACGAGACTATCTTCGACTCTTTGCAATCTTTCATTAAATTAGAATGTTAAAGATTATAAAGTCGGAGTTTCATAAAAATTAAAGGAGTTAAATCCGAGCTTGAGGCCTCAAGACTTTTCTTCTCCTTTGACCACGAAATCAGGCTTTTTTTTTAAGGGGGGAAAATCATCGAATGACTACTCCCGCCTGGGTGAGGCGGGAGGGAGTGTCAAACTCTTACTGACTAAAAACCACCTTCTCCTGCACGTCGAGCCGGAGCCCCGGTTACCCGTTAGGTTCTTCGCGACTCCGAATCGGCCCTATTGGGCCCCATCTGTGGTGGTCTGATTGCTCTTTGAGGCGCGCGCGGAACGCGACGCGCCGTACGCTCGGGTCTGTTTCTGGTCGGACGGGCTTGTTACTCTACGGTGTAATAGACGGACTAACGGTGTAAATGAGGGACATTTGTGCATTGTGATAACTTTAGGTACAGGAGGAACTCAGCATTAATAGACGATTTAATTTCAACCCGTGTAAAGAGCGTCATTCTTGGTACAAACATCGACCAATTATCACCTACCTACTTATTGTAATTTTAATTAATTAAATTTATTTTTTAAGAAACAATGTGGTTTTCTTTGCAGCCTACGTAATTGGCTTGTGAATAATAAATAAAATAAAAATAACATAACATACAATTTTATCTCATTTTTATCTCATATGCAGAGGTGCACATTACGGCACCTGTAAGGCAATGTAACACCCACTTTTTACTATTTGTTATGTCTCATGCAATTCGAGGTTAACCTATACGGCACAATTCCAGACTCCGTGCTATAACTGAGATTTTTTTTAAAAGCCCAGGGATATATTGCCCGACTCGGGAATATAACCCGAGATCCCTTGACCAGCAGTCGCACTTGCAACCACTCGGCCAACGAGGCAGTCAACAAAAATAGAGTCGCACCAATCCTTACTACCCTTACTTCCTTACTAATATTATTATAAATCGCAAAGTGCATTAAATAAAATTGTACGCTGTTGTTTCAACACTCGATAGATGGCGTTAGGATCGAGTTAGATGGCGCTACGGTTTCGTTACCGGCGAAAGTATAGGTTCCGAGTTTCCGTATCAATTACATTTTTGTCCGGTTAAGTAATCAACAGTCTTAGCGTGCTGAAATAAGAGTGGTCCTATCCTTAAAAAACTATAAAAAAATATCATACATTTTGGTGTAAGCATTGTGATTGATTTCTTATCGTTCCCTCAATAATAAGTTTGATTAGTTCAATGTTTTTTTTTCTAGGTATATTTTATTATCTAAAGTAGTTATTGTTTTTTAGTCGTTTTGAGTCGCTATGTTCATTGTTTAGGTTAATTGATACATTAGCTGTATATTAGTTAGGTAAAGTCTTTTAAATTGAAATGAGAGGATGGTATTTGTGGTAATGCGAAAATAAATGCTTCTGTATTTTGAAGATTTTGAAGAAATTTGGTATGAAGGTAGTTTGAATCCTGGAAAAACAAGGCTTTACCGCGGCAGAACTTCTCAATTCGGAAAAATCTGAATAGAGCGATATAACCGAAATACACGCGAGCGGAAAGCTGTTTGTTTGTTTGCCTGTCTAAAACGGCAAAACGGACCTCCGTTTTGCCGTTTTAAAAATTTTAAAAATCACGGTAATTACTACCTAGTAATTACCGTGATTTTTTAACTGAAGGTAGTTGAAGGGATGGATAGTCACATAGGCTACTTTTTTGACGCGAGGGAAGCCGCGGGTAAATGTTAGTAAAACCTATAAAACAAAAGAAGAAAAGTTAATGTCTCGGAACAGTTAATGCCCACTAAAACAGCACAACCTTTTTTTAAAACTATCATTCTACATTCAAATACATTTTTAAAATAAAATAAAAATCATGTACTTATTTGGTTTTTTTTTCGTAGAGTAGGTTGATTGTATCTTTATCTACTTATAAACATTTGTCAGGAAAGAAGCGGAGTTACCGAGTTACCATAATAAAGCGCAATATGTCGAGACATAAGGATTAAGACACATTGTATGCCTAATAAAAGCAGTTTGAAATCAGACGATCATACAACAGCTAGTGTTAGTACATACACATGTAGTCGATGTAGTGTTGTGTGTACTTTACTTTATAACGGCCGGATGTCGCTATTATCGTCACATTGAATCAAGAACAGTAAGTCCAATGCGAACTGAACTTGATTTTAAAGTAATTATTGTTACCCTTTTACCAATAAAAAAAGTAGTCGTAAAATAGGGTAGTATTCTAAATTTTTACTTTAATGTCCGTCTGGTAGATTATTTTATAACATTACACACGTATTTTTTTTATACAAAATTAAATACTTTCGATGATATTGATTGGAAATATCGTGTGACGTCACGATTTACTACATTTTATAGGGTTTTTTTTAGGGGGGAATATCATCGAATGACTGTTCCCGCCTGGGTGAGGTGGAAGGGAGTGTCAGACTCTTACTGACTAAAAACCACCCCGTTCCTTCTCCTGCACGTCGAGCCGGAGCCCCGGTAACCCGTTAGGTTCTCCGCGACTCGGAATCGGACATTTTATAGGGTAGCGTGACGTGAACGTGAGCCCCAAACTTACACAACAAAATAAAAAATGCATGTCTAATATTTATTCATTATCTAACTGACGGACTAATTATATGTTTAATTTTCATACACTATCTACTACCTTATTGTGAAGATATCGAGGAATGGGCAGCAGCACAGCATACTCTAAAATTTCGGTGTTCTAATGGGGGCCTACGTGTTTTTGATGGCGCAATCAAACATTTAAAGTCGATGGTAGCGACACCAGCCTTATTGGACGAAGAACAAGCAAGACAGACAGGAGCACACTGGCGCTACCTGGTGAGCAAAAATATGATAGGTCCCAGTGATATCGATATCGATTGTTGATTGTACTTTCATATGAATCGGACGTATTGATTAACTCATTAGAAAATTAAAACAAAATAATTACAATTGCAATATCGTGACCTAGATTAACAATTGCACATTAATACTGGACAAAACGTGCGTCATCGTGTAAAAGTGTAAATTGACAATGTTCTGTAATTGACAAGTGAATACTTTGCATCATGGAAAACAGCCCATTTGCCCAGAGTAACAGGGTTGTACGATCTCCACCTGGTACACCTGCATCGACCTTACAACCACCGACCCCAAGTACCGATGCTCCTGAAACCGTCGCGACGCCCGAGATCCAGAAGTGGTTAACGACAATCGACCAGAGTCTTACTGACATATGCAATATTGTCAGTGATGGCAAGATGAACTCGGAACAAAAGCTGCGAGTCAACGCCCTTTGCAGGAGAGTGAGTAACGGGACTTCACAGATGGCAGTACTTTACCAATCCCTCAAAGCCACAGCCTTACTTGCCCACCAAAGCGCTTGTAACCTTGAGAATCAATTAGACCTCTCCCTGCAGCTTAAAGATCTTCAACAGAGAATTGCTGAAACTCCCAACCCTACCAGAACAAATTCTTTCGCCGATATGGTAAAAAAAGGTACGAATAATTTCATCCAGCCCTTAAAAGTAAGTTCTGTAGTCATTTATCCAAACGATAAAACGAAGACGAGTGACGAGACGAAACTATTAGTCCAAAAAATCATCCGCCCTGAAGAAATGAAACTACAAGTAAGAGGCCTTCACAAAACTAAAAACGGCGGTGTCATCATCAGTACCGAGTCAAAAGGCGATATTGAGAAGTTGAGACAATCAGCGCAACTCACAAGCTCAGGTCTTACCGTCGATGAGCCGAAGAAAAGAAAGCCCAGAGTCGTCATCATAGGAGTGCCATCAGCTATGTCTGACAAAGACGCTTTAGTATGCTTGTACCATCAAAATCTGGCAGACAAATTGGAAAATTGCAGTCTTGACGCTTTCTTGGAGACAACTAAGTTAAGCCATAAATCAGGGAGGAGAGATGCTGAGACCTGCAATTATGTGGTCGAAGTAACTGCAGTCATTCGAAAAGCCCTAATATCCAAAGACCGAGTCTTTATAAATTGGTCATCATGCCCTGTTCGCGACTTCACTCTGGTGACCAGGTGCTTCAAGTGCCAGCAGTACGGACACGCTGCTAAATCATGTCGACAGACCTCTTTTACTTGCGGACATTGTGGCGAACAAGGTCATACCATAAAAGATTGCCCAAAAAAATCAGATGAGCCGAAATGTGCTACTTGCGTTTACTTCAAGAAGCCCCACAATCACATGACTGGTGCTACTGAATGTCCTGCAAAAGTTATGGCCGAAAAAAGGTACATAAACTCGGTGGACTATGGCGACACGTAAGAACGCTACAACTTAATCTAAATATATTAGAATTGCGTAATGTAAACAGGTTGACATACTCATCGGCTAGTTGCTGTCTAAGCACTTTATTGTAATTTGTACAGCAAGTGTATGATCGTGGACTTTGACCTAGTTTATATATCTACCGATGCAAGTAATTTTTCGACTATAGTGATAAATAATATGCCTTTTGTCTAAGTTAAATCGTACCTAATTTTAATTATTTGTGTATTGGATACCAAATTATCTACCTATACCATATTGTTATGTTACTCTTAAGTTGTTTCACCTCTGCCTATCTCTTCCGGGAGTATAAGGCGCGAGGTATGTGTTTATGTATATTATATAGTCTTTATATTATTTGTCAAAATATTGTTCAGTATTAATTAATAATTAGCATGTAAGACCGTATATAGAAATAAAATTATAATTATGTTAGACCTATTCTCGCCTGTGACACAGGATTATCCTAGTACAGGCACCCAACCATGTGAGATCTATTTTATTTACCCACGAAATATTTTTGTATCTGTGTCCATTTTCATTTCTGAATAAAGATTTTCATTTCTGAATAAAGATTTTATTATTTATTTATTATTATATATCTGTCTGTTAAGCGTTTATGAGCCCTGTATATCTGACAACGAGTTTGAGAAGGAATGTGAACTCTTTGTTCGATCTTGACTCGACATTCAAACAAATTAACTTAAGATTCAAAGTTCAACCTCAAAATATAGATGAGAGATGGTTAGAAAAAGAGAAGTGTAATGAAACTACCTATAAATAATATGCATCACAGCTACTTCCGCGCGGTTTCACTCGCTTTGCTCGGCGCCTATTAATCGTAGCGTGATATTTTATAGCCTATAGCCTTCCTCGATAAATGGGCTATCCAACACAGAAAAACTTTTTCAAATCGGACCAGTAGTTTAGGAGATTAGCGCGTTCAAACAAACAAACAAACAAAAAAACAAACTGGAGTCCTAGGAAGGTTGTTTATGTTCAATGATTATGTGTCACTTAAAACTTCAGTGGTAGGTATTAAAAAAAGATAGCAATGCAAATACTCGATAAACATAAAATTATGAGTTCAAAAACTCGAAATCGTGGTTATTTAAATTTTGAACAGGATATTTTTAATAGAAAACGTCTAGGTGTTTAGTTTTTGTTTTTGTGTTGGGTAAACCCCATAGAAGTAAGGGTTCCGTCTGAAGAACTACAACAAATATGAATATGAATAATAAAACGTCATAATAAGTCGCCCATGGACACCCGGAACACCAGAGGCATGACAAATGTCTTACCGGCCTTTTGGGGATTAGGAATTTGAGGATTGTTGGAGATTCAGGGAGGGAGATTGGGGAAACACAATGCAAGAGTTGTTTTATGTCGATTTTCTGTGGGGTCTTAGTATCACTCCGGTCGAGCCGACCCATTCGTGCCGAAGCAGGCTCTCCCACACTTATGTGATACCTTATTTTTTTTAAAGAAAATCTAACGTGTATGTGTCGGAAGATCCGAGTTAGATCAATCAAGAAGTTGTATACTCTCTGATAAACTGTGATCAATCTTTTAACTGCGATTTCAACCAGTCTGCCATGGCTGGAGGTGGATCATATTCCAACAGTAGAATATCTTATGATGAAGGTATAGTTTAATATTTATTACATAGTTAACGAAGGGTTGCTATGACTACTATTTTCTTAAGGTGAGTAAGTCATTCAAAGACTTCTTCCACCTTGGATGAAGTGAGAGTCAGTGTCAGACTTACTGACTAAAAACCACTCCTTCTTCTTCCTTCTCCTGCTTCGAGCCACTTTTTTATGGAATAGGAGGCAAACGAGCAGGCGGATCACCTGATGGTAAGCGATCAGTGCCGCCCATGGACACCCGCAACACCAGAGGAGTCACAGGTGCGTTTGAAAAGTACGGAACCCAATACGAAATTTACATTTCATCTTTTATTTTGATTTATTTTGAAATCAAGAAACCCGTATCTAAACAACGTTACTATCATGGACCTACGGCGTGCAGTTTTTTGCTGTCATTTAATCAGTTTAAATCGTCCAATTCGGTCAGAGCGCGACTACCAGTAAGTCTGTGGTTGCGTATCGACGTTGGAATCGTAAAATACAAATATTAATTGTTTCTTAGTTTTCCATGAAAAACATGCAAAGACTTATCGTGTTGTTGTCATTTGTAGCGGTCGTGTGTGGTGAGTTTTTCTTGCTCTTTTATTAAGGACACAAAATAGAAATAGTGCTGTCTTCGCGATCGGTAATGTTGTTTGTATAGGTACCTAAAATTTAAAAAACCTGCTTCAATATAGGTACCCAAATTAACATGTATCTATAGATAGTATGCGTTTATGAAATATCGAATACATTATCATTCCTGTAATTCACAAAATGGGTAGGTAGAAGGGGTATTTAAATCACTTTTTGCTACAGTTCCAGATGTTGTTATTCCATTTAATACGCAGTGAATCAAGGTTGAAATTTCGATATATTTTTGAAAATACCCCGTTGGTACTGCCTCGTTGACCGAGTGTTCGCCGACGCGACTGTCGGGCAAGGGGTCTCGGGTTCGATTCCCAGGTCGGACAAAGTATTACTGCATGGGTTTTAAAAAAATTCTCAGTAGTAGCACGGAGTCTGGAATTAATTGTGCCCAGTGTATGGCAATAGACTCACCCCCTATTACATGGGGCTCATAACATAAATAGTGAAAAGTGGGTGTTACATTGTACAGTGGAATAATGTGCACCTCTGCCTACACCTTCAGGGATAAAAGGCGTGATGTTATTATGTATATGGTACTTTGCCTAACTCAAATAATAAAACCAAAGACATCTTGAATCCCTTGTGGCTCTTGTGATACAGGGATACCTAGTACAAGAGCCAGGGCTTCACTGTGTTAATTCTATGAAGCGCTAATTAATTTATTTACTAGCTTTTACCCGCGGCTTCGCTCGCGTCACAAAAGAATAAAAAGTAGCCTATGTGACATATACCCACAGCGCCATCTATACCAATACTTTTGTTTTTCCTCGGGAACATCAATTTTTTCCGGGTTAAAAAGTACGCTATTATTTAATCCGGACTTGTAACTTTACGTCTGCAAAAATTCAAAGCAATCGGTTGAGTAGTTACGGCGTGAAGGTGGAACAAACAAACAAACAAACAAATTCACTTTCAGATTTATAATATTAGTAAGGTAGTATTTAACCAACTTCAAAAAAGAAGGAGGTTCTCAGTTTGACCCGTACTGTATGTATATTTGTGCGCGATTTTCTCGCGATTGAGTAAACCAATTTTGATGCAGTTTTCAGAAAAGTGTTTGTTACACTTGGGAGAAGGTTTTAGTATGTTAAACCGACCTCAAAGAAAGATGGGGTTGAAGTCGATTGTTTAAACGTAGTTTATAAAAGAATTAGCTGTGCCTGCGACTTCGTCCACGTATAATGGTGATTCACAGCTCCTCCCCAGTAGGTGATAGCGTGATAATATGTAGCCCATATATTGTACCAACCTGTTAGTAATATTCATGCAAAATTTGAAGTAAATGCATACAGTGCTTTTTGAGTTTAGCCTGGACATACATACAGACAAACAAACAAAAATTATAAATACCATATTTTTGGCTTCGATATCGATTGTAGATCTGTCTTGTTTGGACTTTAAAAGAGACGGACCTCTGAGTTTGTTTCGTCATTTCTTCTCAGAGTAGTCGGTTAGGAAATGCCGGCCTCATCGTTCGCTTGATAAAATTGACGTGTAAAAGTGCTGCCTTGTAGCCTATTTGCAGAAATAAATTCACTTGTTTCACTTGATCACTTACCAAGCATTCTTTTAAAAAATATTGAATGTACAGTTTTCTCTTTCCTACGATTTTATTATATGTATAGATTATTTTAATACTATCTTCCTACCCGCGTCTAACCGTTTACTTTCGTCTTTTCCGTGTGGTAAAAAGTAACCTATATGTTATTCTAGATCACCAACTACCCCTTCTTTTTTTTTTTAAATAACACCTCGATCCCTTCAACTGTTATGACATGAAAGATTTACAAACACACACACGCACACACACGCCTCAGTAACTTTTGTATAATACTATTAGTAGGATTGTTATTAAGGAAATATTAAAAAGTTACAGTTTATGAATAACGGCAAGAGTCTAGCTAAGTGACGCTTAGTTCAAAAGCCTTTATAATAAACCAGTTTTTCAAATCTAAAGTATTTTCTAAATAAATAAACCTGTTATGGTAATGAGAATGTCTATTAACTAAATTAATTGGTTAACTGTGTTTATTTAAACTAATAATTGCACGTAACAAAATCCTACTTAATATTGTAAATGCGAAAGTTTGTATGTTTGTGGCTCTATCTATATGAAAGAAAGAAAGAAAGAAAGAAAAAAGAAACACAGAAAGAAATAAAGATAAACCGTTTATTACGCCACGACACACACACACATGCAGACAACAATACAATAAACATAAAAAGAACATTATGGTACGTCGCAGCGCAATAGGCCAGAGCTCAGCTTAGTGCTGTGGGCCGGACACGAAGGGTCAAGTCCATAGCGCTGATTTTCAGCACCAGCCTGTTCGTCTTATAGAGAATAAGCTAGTGTTAAGCCATTGGATGCTCAAAATTTGACAGCTGCTGTGAGTGGACAAAGATAAATAAATATGTATAGTCAAAACGGCTGAAAGGGTTCGGTATGAAATTAAGAACAGGGGTAGAGTATGGTCTGTACACATGGGCTACTTTTTATCCCAAACGAGGGCGAAGTCGCTGCAGCGAGTAATATTATATGTAGTAAAAATTGTATTGATATAAGACTGCCTCGCTTGCCGAGTGGTCGCAAGTGCGACTGCCAGACAGGGTGTCTCGAGTTTGATTCCCGGGTCGGGCAAAGTATTACTGAAGTCTGGAATTATGCCCGGTATATGGCAACAGGCTCACCCCCTATTACATGGGAGTCATAACATAAATAGTGAAAAGTGGATGTTACATTATACAGTGGTATAATCTGCACCTCTGCTTACCCCTTCGGGGGTAAAATGCGTGATATTATGTTTTTATGTTTAAGAACTGTATTGCCGTAATTCCAAAGTATCTATTTTATAATCACGTATTACTTCATTTCAGGTGTCCAATATGACGGACTTAGAGGTAAGATCTTTTAATAATAATTTAATAATAATCTCTGTTCATCCAGTTGATCCAGTATAACTTTATTTTAAAGATTTTACATCTTTGTTCTTCCTTTACTACATAACTCTATTATAAAAAAAAGTCTCAAAATTGTCAAGTTTTGATTCTAAACTTTTTAAACAAAAGCGACACCGCTCTGAGGACTCCCAATTGTTTTAAGAAGTAGCTAACGCAAATGTTTATAATAAAATTCAAAGAGTTAAGTACTTTGTACATTTTATAAAAAAATTAGGAAGATTTGGTCACACAATTCATATTCCATTCTGATATTCAGCAAAATTCGGTTGGACGGATGCCCTGGCTGATATGGAGTACTTCTTCAAAATTCCTCGCACCATCACTGACGTGGAAACCGAAGGGTGGCTGCGGACTGAGCGGCCGAAGGGTCCACTGCCAGAGCTGAGGATGTACTGTCCTCCTGGAAGAGGGCTCTGCTCCCTATATGATACTGCTGGCTTTGTTGCCGGAATCATGCTTACTGTAAGTTACTTCATTTTATTTTAGTGTTGACTAGCAATTGTTTGATTTATGACTATGCTTATGTTTGCCGATGACTTATGTGAAGGACTGCCTCGTTGGCCGAGTTGTCGCAAGGGGTCTCGGGTTCGATTCCCGGGTCGGGCAAAGTATTACTGGGTTTTTTAAAAATCTCAGTAGTAGCACGGAGTCTGGAAATGTGCCCGGTATATGGCAATAGGCTCACCCCCTATTACATGGGACTCATAACATAAATAGTGAAAAGTGGGTGTTACTTCTATGTGCACCTCCGCCTACTCCTTCGGGGATAAAAGGCGTGATGTTATGTTATGTTATGTGAAGGTTTAAGGACCCAATAAATAGCTTGTATGCGGCCACTGCTGACTAAAGACCTCTTTGTGCACGACCCGCACTTACTCGTAATTGTCTTTTTCAAACAAATATTAAGAGTTAGTGTCTATAATAAGTGATAAGACCGCCTTTGTGCTCCATTATTATTTTTATTTATGTTTGACATTTCCTTCTCTGTATACACTATATTATTAATGGTGTACAATAAAGTTTATAATAAATAATGTCTGAACAAAGAGAAATTATAGTGAAATTCTCAATGCATATCTAATATTATCCTAATAATAATGATAACAAATGAAATATCTAGACTTAGCTCACGAGGTTGTCGACATGTGGAATGTGGATTCAGCAATCATTGTGCCAAATCCATCTCAGGAGGCTGGCGTTAGGTGGATGGATTAAGGGCCTGATACAAAAGGCAGTTCTCCTAGAAACGGCACGTATCGTGAGGAGGTTTCTGTCTCTGGAGCCCTAAGCACCGGTAGCTTGGATCATGCTCCCACTACTGGTCGGCTCCTATTTTTATATTTTTAAATATTATTTTTATACTGTAGTATTTAAAAATGTAATTTTAGAGAAAGTTTAAATAAATATATGGAAATGATAATGTAATATGACACTACTATAATCTACATCGCTAATCTCACGTGTCTAGCCGTGAATGTCAGATTATTAGTAAGTAAATACATTTTATTGAACCAAAACAACAATCGGTGGATGACCGCGCAAATCTCTTCCTCATTGCTTCTAACAAATGACAATACGCAGTGAATTCGGAGCGGTGACGCGTCGTGCACGCCGCCCGCGCCGCCGTTTATCTAATTTATTTGAATGAACAAGATCAATCGCGGAGGGTCGGGGACCCACGCTGTTGTAATATAAACATGTTATATACATAGATATGTACATAATGTAGACAGCAGATCAAGTTCTCGAAAGAATGGTTCTTATGATCCAAGAAGAATTATTATCGAGTTCATTTATATTATCTGTGATTCATTTAAGAAACACAGGGATAAAAAAATCTTACTTACGCTTAAAACAGTTGTTCGTAAATGAGAGTGTACGTGGGTAACATCGTAACTAGATAATGTGGTGATATAATATAATTTATGGGTCACCTGTAGATCTGACGAAGATTGAGCACGCGGCTTTGGTGTCAAACACATACACACACACACGCACACACACGGTAAGGATAATACGTACTGTACGTCAAGTCAAGTACAATACGACACGGTGTCCCAAAACATCGAAAAATTGTAGGGGACCATTAAATCGAATTTAAGTAGAATTTGTAAAATCAAAAATAAAACGAAACAAAATAGGTTTAACCTTTACGTAATTACAGTTTCGGAATTCAAATAAATTATTAGAAAGAGAATAAGGAGTAGTTAATAAACATAATTTAGAGTAAGATTGACTTTCCTTCCAAAAAAATCAAATTCGGTGTTAATGTAATTTTTTATTTTGTTACCATTCTATTGACAGAACTTATTGTACTAGTACTAGAAGTACGTATGTACTTAAAATTACTCTTCTCTCCACTGCGACAATATACATATGTTTATTCATGATTCGGATATAGTTTCCAGCTGATGGATTGGAGACTGCATTGCCTCCTGAGAAGAACCTCGTTAAGTGGTCAGCTCCGGCTGTGGAAGGCGAGCCAGCAAGAGAATACTGGACTGCTACACAGTTCTTTGTGTCTGAAGGTGAAAAACTTATTTATTTACATAAATTTCATTAATTTCGTTCAACTATAGGTCCAGAATTTAGTGCTTACTTCCTTACATACTAAAGACAGAATAATAAAAGTGCAGTGTTTCTGCAAAAAATATTAGAATTATCTGAGACATAGCTGTCCAGTATCCACCAAGGATAAGCATCATCATCAGCTTCATATTTATGATCCAAATGACAATAAAACTTAACAAAGGAAGGCACTGAATGTCCATAATGGTTTCAATTTAGTTAGCTCAACGCAACACATTCATATTTAAGCACTGTGGATGGAGAGCTGTAACTCGATATGTTAGCATTGTCTGAGAGCCATTATATGCTCCGAGTGGTGTAGAATGTAGACAGACTGTAAGCGCTATAAGACTAGGTCAGTTACAGAATGTTTCTGATGTATAGGAGTGTGTTCTCGGTTTATTAAAAAAACAGGAATCCATACAATTTAATAATAAGTAGTTAAATGACCTGTGTTCAAATTGTTTAGCATTTTTTAACTTGGTCTAACAAAATACGTTGTTTACTTATTCGACAATGAAAATAGGTTGTGTATAGAATAAAATTTGGATCCGCTTTCCAGAGTCCCTAAAGGCTGGTGCTGGCCCTCAAGTGGAGAACGGAGCTACGCTGCAAGATGGTGGAGTATGGGTTGTGGGACACGACGCACGTCTGATGCGTATACCTAGCACAGAAGCAGAGCTGAACAGCACCACCTTCAAAAAACAAAATTGTATTCCTAATATGGGTGAGTTGCTGTGTTGAAAATAGGGTTGGCCTAACAATGCACCTTGCGGTAGCCCTCTAATATATATGACTTTAATGCAATGTGCAAATATTAATAAGTAACTGTATCTAAGTAACTGGTAAGGAAATTAGTGTTAGTGTTAAAAAAATTAGTGTACCTACAGATATATATTCTAGATTTTTTCAAAGAAAGCTTTGGAAGAATCGAAGGCTATTCATAGAACATAAAAATGCATTTCAATAATCATAATAATACCTCGTGTTGTTTTCAGGTACACATTACTATTACAACATGACTCGTGACCTTAAATGTGACGATTTCTTCCCATGGTTCGCGATGACGACACAGGGTGATATGGTTGGCACTGGATTCCAAATGGTGGGCAGAATGCCCAAACCCAAAAAGGAAAGGAATTGGTTTGATGATATTCCCAACCCTAAACAAGGCATGTCGGTAAGTACCATTTAATAGTATATAGATATATACAATATTTTTACATAAACCAGATGATGTCCAATTTTACGAGTGGTCTTATGATATGATTTTTTAATGTTTCAAACTTTTATTATTTCTGCAATAAAATTTATATAATTTCATTGATACAAATACTGTTATATAGATATCCATTGAAAAATTGACAACTACATTATTGTTGTCTGCGATAAGACTATTCTCATACATTACCTAATGTTAATTCGCTGCCAAGCGATGTCTGACACAACTATGCGTAATATATCTATTCTGTAATAAAATTAAATGTTTCTTTTTCGCTATTTTTTCACCTTCTTTCTCTGAACGACGTTATAATTTTTCTAAAAATAGCATAATCTTTTAATTTGCAGATAGGGATACCTCATGCTCCTCAATGTCTCCTTGAAAGCGCAGAAAAGTACGGAATAATCTCAATACATGTTTATTTCGTCGATGAACCCTGGAAGATAAAGTGCCAGTAAGTTTGATTGAATTGAAAAAAAAATTGTCAACATATTTATGCTCCATTCCAAGACCAATACTTGTTTAATCAGGGAAATTATATTAATGAGAACTCAAATCATTTACTTGGTAGTTGCACTTGCATCATTCAAGTAACGTCGTTGGTAGTTTACAATATTTGATTTCTGATACCTCGAAAAAGTAACCCAAATGTAATAAAGAGCGAGCAAGCACCACATGTTAAGCACCTGAGGCGGAGTACGGAGGAGATGGGGAGTCTGTTTTCCGTTACCTTGTAACTAGATGGAATAGTACTGGACTCTAGAATGGCATTAAGTCAGCAAGAATCTGCACGAAACCGTTCCATGACAATTTTCTATCTTAGTGGTGAAATAGTTTCGAAATATTAAATGTTTACTTGTTCAACAGGGCTGGAGACTCAATCAAGGCAGTTCCAGCTTTAGACCGTCTTCTCCTCAACGGTTACAAATACGCCAACCAAATATCTGATGAAGTAGTGAAATTATTTAGCGGTTAAACTAGTCCCAATTGTCTCAAAAATTAAAATATATTTCAATATTTTCTTAAGTTATAGAGAAACCATTTGTATTGCAACAGTTTGTTTATTCATACTGCAATTAACCGCACATCAATGGTTATACCTGAGACCAGCAAAAATATACTTATTTCGTAGTTAATATGGGTACATTTTGCTTATCAGCTACTGTTCTTGATGTGTGGTTGATAGTTAATTGTCTTTACCCACCTTTTTGTCTTATTAATTTATTTTTCTAATGTATCATTTACATCCACTGCCTAAAGGTATCGTTACACATGCTAATATCAAACTCAAAAACATGGTTCTATTGAGTACTGGTCACTTAGTAACATGTGTGTCGGTATGTTACTCAAAAACGTGTTTTAAGTATGGGAGAGCCATGTTTTGACACGTATGGACCGGCTCGACTGGAGTGATACTACGGTCCCACAGAAAACCGACGTGAACCAAAGCTTGCGTTGTGTTTCATCATGTAACTGATATTACCAGATTATATTCCTCCTCCCCTTCCCTAATCAAATTCCTAATCCCCAAAAGGCCGGTCACGCATTTGTAACGCCTCTGGTGATCCAGGTGTCCACGGGCGCCGCTGATTGCTTACCATCTGGTGATCCGTCTGCTCGTTTCCTGGCTTATCCCAAATAAAAATCTCATTTCGGGCATTGTTGTGAACCGACAAGCGTTTGATTTTTAAGCATGCTCAATAGAACGCTTTTTAGCATACTATTTTACAGGTTGTGTACCAGTACCTTCATTGTTCAGAAAGGTTTTCCCATTTACCATAATCTTCAACCTTGGCAGACTTTAGTCACAGAAAATAAGGATGCAGCTAACGACCCCGCGATGGCAGGTCTTGGTTTTAGGATTTATTAAAAGTAGGTATATGAATATGTAATACATATGTATGTATGTCCTGATCATTTTTATCTATGTGATATTGAATTGAAATGCAATGCAATTTGGTTGGCAAGATGTAGGTAGATAGTTAAGTGACATAATTTATAATAAGTAAAGAAATCACAAATCATTATAATGTGTTTTATTAATTGCAAGGATAACTGTCCACGGTGCGTTATTTGACTAAAGCATGCATCCTTTACAACAATAGTCGGGCTTAATGTTGCAACTTTGTTGAAAATTTTCATTGTTTCTGAGCAAGATGCAAGTATATGTCATTTGTAGGCCGCCTAATGTTTCTGATGGATACATGCATTCGTATTTTTTTTTAAAGGGAGAAAATCATCGAATGATTGCTCCCGCCTGGGTGAGGCGGGAGGGAGTGTCAGACTCTTACTGACTAAAAACCACCCCGTTCCTTCTCCTGCACGTCGAGCCGGAGCCCCGGTTACTCGTTAGGTTCTTCGCGACGCATGCATTCGTCTAGGGACGCAACGTGGACAGTGTACACCAAAATATATAAAAAAATTATATATTTGGCAAGGTCCCTAAAGACCTGTTGTTATTATACCAATCAAAGTCTATTTACAAACATTCAGCACATGGTTCATACAATATTCATTACCATGTATATCATCACGCCTTTTTATCTTCGAAGGGGGTAAGCAGAGGTGTACGTTATGGCACTTACTTACGATACACTTACGATATAAATCCACTTTTCACTATTTATGTTATAAGTCCTATGTAATAGGGGGTGAGCCTATTGCCATATACCGGGCACAATTACAAACTCCGTGCTTACTGAAAAATATTAAAAAAACCCAGTAATAGGTACTTGGCCGGACCCGGGAATCAAACCCGAGACCCGATGCCGCACTTGCGACGACCCGGCCAACGAGGTATGCATACAACATTTGTCCATAAATTTATAACAGCAATAAATTACACGAAAAGAAACAAAATAGATTGAAAACTGAAACAACATGGCGGTTGACAAAACAGAATTAATTTCGGACGGAGCCTTTACGGCCGCCATTAAAACTTGAACGAACAATATAAATCGTAATACAACGTTAAAATGTCAAAGTTAAATTATTAGTGTAAGTTTGTTTTTTGGAGGCATGGTTGAGTTCATTGTCTTCTTGGTTCAATCGATGATAAAGCCATTGAAAAGCACGAGACTCAGAGAAAGCATTATGTATTTTGAATTAATGAATTTTCTTTTGCCTTCCGTCACTACACATCAACAGCCTATTAGTGGCCACTGCTGACCAAAGGCCCTTTTCTCACATGGAGAAGGTTTGAGCATTAATCAACACTCTTGCTCAATATCGATTGTTTGATAGGTTTCCTCACGATGTTTTCCTTCACCACCGCCAAAGTCACAGTCAAAGTCAAAATCATTTATTTCAATTAGACCAGGAAGGCACTTTTGAACGTCAAAACCACCAATGGCAATCGGCCAGTGGTGGCATTTCTTGCTTTGAAAACTGGTCCTAAATATTGTGTTCTAATCTACCTCTATAAACCTCCTCCTAGCATAATATCACACCTATAGGTTTATCCAAAGGGATAGTTAAGTTAAAAATCTCAGCAAGGTCTCCTAACCCCCTTGATGCCATAAAATAGATAATATTCTTAAAATAAATCTTATTACCAAGAGTCGGTATTAGAGTGCCTATTCCGAATAAATGATTTCGGTTAGCAGATGACGCCCTACGCACTAAAGCCGAAATTTTGTTTGTTCTTCGAAAATAAATCAAAATAAACAGCTCCTACAATATTGTGCCACACACATAACTCAAACTCGTGAACTAGCTCCAGTTTACTGTCAGAATATTAAACACTAAAATATGAAAGTACTACATTACTTCGTGAATCCGAAGCGCCTACCAAAAACACATTGGCAATGTACAAATCGTCGTATAAAATCTCTGGCGCCGGTCAGGCGTTGTCATTTTAACTTGGAAATGTTGGCGCTCGTCCCGTTGGGCACTGATAACTAACACAAATTGTACTATCTAATTGATTTGTATGCCATTTGAGATGGTAGAATTCAGTTATAGTTGCCATAAAATTAGGTAGTTTCTAGATATTCTGGAGAAATAGATTTCCTTTCTGTTGAATTATTTTCCATTGCCTTTTCTTCAAGAAACACATTTTTATTTTACTTGACACGACACAAAGTCACAATTGTGATTTCCCAAAGGGATCGGTAAAACAGTACTTGAAAGTACAGAATTTTTTTCGCAATAGGTATCTAACGTTTTTACTTTTAGATGTTTTAGTCCCACTATATTGGCTGGTATTCAGCCAATATAGTATAACCTTTATAAACTTTATAACCCAATATAAACATTCTATACTTTCTATTTATATAAGGAACCACCCATCAAATCTATACCCACCAACTTCCCATCGTATAAGTGGCACTTAAGAAAGCAAGTCTTTTTCAAGAATCAAACTCGACAGCTCCTAGTCTAACTAACTGGTCGTTCATAAACGAAGTAGTTGTTAACAGTAACTGTAGCTTATCTATTACATAATACAAACCAAATTGTATGTTGCAAAAAACTTTGCAATATGAGTCAATAAGTACGATTATGCAATACAAGAAATATAAAGTACATAATAGTTTACCAAATTATATTTGCGTTTGGTCCATACAATTATCAACTTTAACACCCAATATCAAAACTTTAAACAAAGTTTTGTAACATCTTACGTATTTTTGTTCTATAATGCAATACTCAAGTGCTATTATGCCTTACCGTTCACTTCGATACATCCGTTGTCCGCCTTTGAAAATTATTCCTGGACTGTTAAGGAAATGTGTAACCTATTGACACAGTTCTACTTATTGTTTTAGTACAGGATGCTAAAGAAATCAGATTACCTATTTGCCAATTTTTGGAGACAAAGGTTTGAGGAAATAATAGCGGTTTTTATTTAGTTCTGCAATAGATATGTACTACAATTAAGTTCAATTCAGTTTCCCTTCATAAAAATTGGGTAATTTGGTACGAGAAAATAGTTCATTTCCTTTCGATTTCTTAATATTGTTAAGTAACAAGTAAATAATGATTACAAACGTCTAAGTTGGGTCTGTCTCATTGGCTGTGTGGTCGCAAGTGCGACTGCCGGGCAAGGGGTCTCGGGTTCGATTCCCGGGTCGTAATTCCTGGGTTAGTAAAAAACCTCAGTGTGCAATAGACTCACCCCCTATTACATGGGACTCATAACATAAATAGTGAAAAGTGGGTGTTACATTGTAGTGGCATAATGTGCACCTCTGCCTACCCCTTCGGGGATAAAAGGCGTGATGTTATTTCGAAGTTGGGGCAAGCAGGAAGGAATTTTGAACAGTATCGGTTAAAGAGACTAGATGTGACGAATAACCATTGGTCTATACAGGGCCATATTTAGGGGGGGGGGGGCAACCGGGGCGAAAGCCCCGGGGCCTCCACAAGCAGGGGGCTTCCACAATAGAGACTTCAGAAAAAAAAATCTTTTAATTTTCAACTAGTAAACCTAGTAAACATCTTTTCTTTGATATTTTTTTTTTCGCTTTTACCTTTACCTACAGCCTAAAGTACTTTATACATACATGATTATTTGATTATATTAATTTTAAATATTAACAGAAACAGAAATCATTGATCTATATTTGTTCACTCCAATCAGGCAATCAGTGAAATATCAAAATCTCAAATGGCTCTGATAAGTACTTCCAATTTACTACCCATCTTGAGGAAGTACCCCAATGGCTCAATGGCTCAGTGGGATGGTACTTGCCCGCAACCTCGGAAGTTGGCCTTTCGATTCCGTGTCTCGACCATTAAAAAAATTAATTGCAGTATGTGAACAATTGGTATTCTTCAATTCTTAAACTCGAAATCTGTCGAGCGTCCTCAAAATCTATCGAGCATCCTCGATCGTTTTCGAGCGTCCTCGATTGTTTTCGAGCGTCCTCGAAATCTATCGAGAGTCCTCGATTGTTTTCGAGCGTCCTCAAAATCTATCGAGAGTCCTCGATTGTTTTCGAGCGTCCTCGAAATCTATCGAGAGTCCTCGATCGT